TCATGACAAGGCTGCAATGCTGTGCACCTATCCTGCACGTCCTCAGCTGTACAGCTATATCTCACTAGCAGCCTGTGCATGCATTTATCTCACTGATTGCCTGGCAGTCCCTGAGCCAAGAGTAAATGCGCCTCCCAACTCGACTGCCACTGGCAGAGAAACACCTTTTGTTGATAATCTACAGTGCTCTCGATTTGAAAGCATCGGTTAAACTCCTGCCCAAACTAGTTGGACTTAGTACTTTCTCTCTGCAGACACGGCCCATAATTCATAGGCGTGCTCCAGCAATTTTGTACTGCTCCTTCGGTATGAAACAACCATTAGCCAGGTTTAATAAGCCAGCAAGGAGGAGTTAATAAAGTGTGCTTTCCTCTGTATGTTATACACCTGGAAAGAAGCTTCACATACTGTCAGCTAAAGAACGCAGTGTGAATTAACAATGCCTGCCCTTCCTGCAGCAAGGACTGGGCATCATAGCCAAATGCTTCAACCTGCTTCAGGGTGGTACTGTTGATGCAGGAGAACAGCTCTTAGTTTTTAGTATTTTGGGCTCTTCTGTGCTAGGGCCCAACCTAAGTACCACCCCTTGTGTGCTACAACAGCTTCCAGTACTTCTGCACTGAGGACTGCTCCTTGTTATTGCCATGATACAATGTACTATTTGCAGGAGGAATCAAACATTTGGAGATCTGAAGAAGGAAAAGCAAGTGGAAAGGGCTCTCTTTGGGTGTCTCGTGCAAAATACCAGGATCAGGCAGGTGCTCTAGAATACTGTAGTGTGAAGGCTAAGCTAGACATAGTATCAGTGGCATTCCTACAATTTACATTCCTGCTTTTTGATCTGTAAATAGCAGCCACAGGGCAATCTAAGCAGCTTCAGGGCTGTGTATGAGAGGGGTCAGCAAACTTTTTCAGCAGGGGGCTGGTCCACTGTCCCTCAGACCTTGTGGGGGGGCGGACTATATTTTTTGGGGGGACGAATGTATTCCTATGCCCCACAAATAACCCAGAGATGCATTTTAAATAAAAGCACATTCTACTCATGTAAAAACACCAGGCAGGCCCCACAAATAACCCAGAGATACATTTTAAATAAAAGGACACATTCTATACATGTAAAAGCATGCTGATTCCCGGACCGTCCGTGGCAAGGATTTAGAAGGCGATTGGGCCAGATCCTGCCCCAGGGCTTTAGTTTGCCTACGCATGGTGTATGGGTTGGTCAGAAAGTTTAACCCTTTCTCTTCCTGCAACAGCCCTGACAAAAACTGCCTCTCTGAAGCTGCCATTTGTACTTCAGGGAAAGCTCCCATTTCCCTTGAAGTGAAAACAGTAGCTTTGGATAGGTGCTTTATTGGCATGGAGAGAAAGGGTTGAACTCCCTCTCCTCACCCACCCATTTCACAGTCTTCAGACTATTCAGATTTCCCCAATGGCTATTATTTAAATAACTCACCCATGCAAGTTAAGTGCACTCATGCAATTAATGTCAGCTTAGTTTGGAATTTATTTATTTATTACATTTAGCTTTTCTCTGGGGAGTTCTGCTATCCATCCATGACCAGACCTAGATCCACTTGACTTCAGCAATATTGCTGCATCAAGTGCCTTTAGAACAAAGAATCTGTCTAAACGTAAAAGGGGCTCAGACCAGGGTGCACATCCTTCACCCCATCATAATTTGTTGCCATCATAACCCTGAAGCTACAAACCATCTCTAGCCATCATGGAAGCATGCTGAATGCTGTGTGAGATAGTAAGTCTGCAGGCTTGAGTTTGCTAGCTGATGCAACCGGCTGATGCAACCAGCCTGCAATACTTTCTCCAGAAGTGCTGGGTCAGAATGACTCAGCAGTAATGTGCTGTCAGTTGATTGGCTGTCATCGGTTTAAAAGGGAAACCTGTCCAGCAGTAAGGGTGGTGGTGTAGAGGAGTGTGGGCAGAGAGAGAGAGTTAGAGGTCTTCCTATTTGCCTTAAGCTGCAGCCAGGTACTCTGTCTGACTGTATGAACTGCTCGTGTATTATATAGCCTGTAGATATTTGTGTATATAGCTCACAATAAATATACTGAAGAACCTGGAACTCTGAGCATTTCTGCTAAAGCACCACGAAGAATTAGCGACAGACTGTGCCACATTGACCAGCAGGGTCTGAGGGGGGCTTGCAAGCAGGTTTACTTTGACAGGCTTACAAGACTCCTCTGTGATCAGAAACCCCATGTGACTTGATCTCCCTGTCCTTTCTCCCTGATATTTGCTTCCCAATGCAGAGGGACTATTTTGTATTAAGGAGCATTCAGTGTAGGGCTGGACCAAAGTCCACCTCCACCTTTGCCAGACCTCTCCACCCACCACTAAGAAGGATGGGAAGAGAATCCTGGAGACTGTCGGATGAGGTGGTAACTAATAGCTGGCTGAGGATTGATCCTCCCCCCCGCATCCTCTTAGCAGTCCCCCTACTGCAGAGGCATTATTTGAAAATGGGAACTGGAAATGTTTTGGTAGCATCTTTCCCAGGGACATTTCTGGGTAGTGATGCTACCAGGTGGTATTTATCATTACTTGAGACAGCACACACAATGGGTTTTTTTAAGGAAAGGGGAGAAGAAAAACCCAACCCTTGGATATGCTGTAAACTGTGAAGTCAGAGGTTGTTGTTGTTGTTTAGTCGTTTAGTCGTGTCCGACTCTTCGTGACCCCATGGACCAGAGCACGCCAGGCACTCCTATCTTCCACTGCCTCCCGCAGTTTGGTCAGACTCATGTTTGTAGCTTCGAGAACAGTGTCCAACCATCTCGTCCTCTGTCATCCCCTTCTCCTTGTGCCCTCAATCTTTCCCAACATCAGGGTCTTTTCCAGGGAGTCTTCTCTTCTCATGAGGTGGCCAAAGTATTGGAGCCTCAGCTTCAGGATCTATCCTTCCAGTGAGCACTCAGGGCTGATTTCCTTAAGAAAGGATACGTTTGATCTTCTTGCAGTCCATGGGACTCTCAAGAGTCTCCTCCAGCACCATAATTCACCATAATTCACCATAATTCACCATAATTCTCAAGAGTCTCCTCCAGCACCATAATTTGTTGGCAAGGTGATGTCTCTGCTTTTTAAGATGTTGTCTAGGTTTGCCATCGCCTTTCTCCCAAGGAGCAGGCGTCTTTTAATTTTGTGACTGCTGTCACCATCTGCAGTGATCATGGAGCCGAAGAAAGTAAAATCTCTCACTGCCTCCATTTCTTCCCCTTCTATTTGCCAGGAGGTGATGGGCCCAGTGGCCATGATCTTCGTTTTTTTGATGTTGAGCTTCAGACCATATTTTGTGCTCTCCTCTTTCACCCTCATTAAAAGGTTCTTTAATTCCTCCTCACTTTCTGCCATCAAGGTTGTGTCATCTGCATATCTGAGGTTGCTGATAATTCTTCCAGCGATCTTAATTCCGGCTTGGGATTCATCCAACCCAGCCTTTCACATGATGAATTCTGCATATAAGTTAAATAAGCAGGGAGACAATATACAGCCTTGCCGTACTCCTTTCCCAATTTTGAACCAATCAGTTGTTCCATATCCAGTTCTAACTGTAGCTTCTTGTCCCACATAGAGATTTCTCAGGAGACAGATGAGGTGATCAGGCACTCCCATTTCTTTAAGAACTTGCCATAGTTTGCTGTGGTCGACACAGTCAAAGGCTTTTGCATTGTCAATGAAGCAGAAGTAGATGTCTTTCTGGAACTCTCTAGCTTTCTCCATAATCCAGCGCATGTTTGCAATTTGGTCTTTGGTTCCTCTTCCCCTTCGAAATCCAGCTTGCACTTCTGGGAGTCAGAGGTAGGCAACCCTTTTTCTGGTGAGGTCCATATTCCCTCAGGTTAATTTCTCAGAGGCTCCATATGAATGATGCACTGGGACCACAGTCAAAAGTGAGCAGTGCATCTCTCTCTCTTTCTCTCTCTCTCTCTCTCTCTCTCTCTCTCTCTCTCTCTCCTGTTCCCATTTTCCCCATCCTTGCCATCCACAAGAAATTAGGCCAATAGCTATAAGAATGTAGGACATGCTGTTTCCCACACCTGCTACAAATATTAGGCAATACCCTTACTCAAATGTTCCACCACACCACTTTAATAGTCACCTTCACTCTCCAAACTCCAAAGTTCATCTTGGTCAGACAATCAGCACAGCCCCAATTCAATTAAATGAGCCCCCATCTTCAAGCTGAAGTGGTACAAGCCTTATCTGGACTGGGCTATACTGTGTTCAAAATAACTGTTACATTATTTATTCCTAAAATACTGTACACCGCAGATTTTCTCATTCACTTTCTTAGCTATTGCCGATTTCCCCTCTACCCCACCTCAGTTTCTCCAGAAATTCTAGAGGCCGGACATCCAGAATGTTTCCAATGCAACAATGAACCTGAGGGGGAAAATAATTTTCTGGAAATTCCGCTGTATTGGAGCAAAGAGAAAAATGAGGCTCTTTTATGCAAAATTAAGAATGTATTTATACAAACTGAAGTGGAACTGTGTTGCCATCTAGTGGTTTAAAAAGTCACAATGGGATCCTCTGAAATGTAATTTCACCTTGTGAATTAGCTGGGCCCAGGACCTCAGAGAGCTCCTGTACTTTCAAAAATTGTAAACACTGCGGCATTTAACCTCGTGCAATTTTGACCATCAAAGCACAGCAAGAGAGAGAGAGAGAGAGAGAGAGAGAGAGAAAGAGAGAGAAGCTGTACTTGGACAGTTTCCCCTTTTATATGGTTTTGAAACTATTCAATATGTGAATCCATATTATCAGTTACTTCTCAGAGCAATCCTATGAAATAATCCATTGCATATCGATTGACCCTGAAGCTAAGAAAAAGTCATTTGTCCAATGAGACTGCAACATAGCTAGGATGTGAACATAAATTTTAATTCACCAAACAATTCCTTGCATGTAAGTCTGCATCCAGCACAGAGTGCTTTCTCTTAGGAGACTGCTAAGCCCTTTGTGACATCAGAGGCTGCAGGGACACTACCCAGAGAGAGTCACACAGAAACACAGAGCACACAACACAGATAGGCTATGCATGGACTCGGCTAGGCTACAGGGCAAATCAAATTAGACATATCTGGATATATTTCTTGGCAGAGAATGACATGAGTGAAGCAAAGGTAATGTTGATGCTAATGAGCAAGGGTGGGTCTCTGCATGGCTGCTTATAGTTCTGAAGCTCTATAATAACTGTAGTTGTGATGGAGTATGGCACTGTGTGTAACCCACAGGCATTGTTGAAAGTGAGCCCTTTGAGGGAATCATCGCAGCTCAGTGGTGGACTTCTGATTTGCATGCAGAAGGTTCTACGTTGGTGGATTGTGAGAGAGGAAACTCTGCTTTCCTTTCTCAAAGTAGGCTAAGCAGGACCCCTCCAAGAACTGGGTGGTGGTGATGGTTGTTGTGATCAGGGAAGTTTCTGCTTCTTCAACTGCTGCTGTGTGCCACTCTTTGTGTAAAGTGACAGGAAAACCCACCTGGCTGAGAAATGAGACATGCGTTCTCCTTAAAGCTTATGTTGAAGCTATGATAGCAGTCCCTGTAGGTAGACCTCTAAGCTAAGTAAGCTACCATTTAGGGCCTCAGATTAAGAGGAGCCTTGAAATAAAAACAACTGAATTTCAGATTTACATAACTGGTTACAAAATACAGTGGTACCTCATGTTACATACTTAATCCGTTCCGGAGGTCCATCAGTAACAGGAAACCACTCGTAACATGAGGCGCACTTTCTCTAATGGCACCTCCCACTGCTGTCGTGCCACCGGAGAGTGATTTCGGTTCGCATCTTGGGGCAAAGGTCACAGCAAGGGGCATCTACTTCCAGGTTAGCAGAGCGCGTAACCCGCAGCATTCGTAAGGGGGACGGTAGATAACACGAGGTACCACTGTAAAGAAAATGAGAAAAACAAGACTCTGTAGCTGACATTATCGTTCTGTTAATGACAAAAATAATGTGCAAGGCATATTGTGGCTCTTTTGGAGGCTCATGGTAACAAACTACTGAGGTCATCTGAAAAAAGATTGAACTGAAAAATATCAACAGTGAACTCTGGACAACAATACTACAAGAAAAACTGTCTGAACTAAGCATTATGTGCAATTATTTTGCTTCTGGAAGTTAAACAAAAATTCTAAAAGAATGTCATTTCTGCCAGCAGATTTCTGAAGCCTTTACAGCTGTCAACATAGGAACCAAAAATGCCAGGTAAGTGTTCTTAAGTTAAGAGAAGTGGGGTCAACCGGGAAGGGAGCATGAAACAGGGTGGCAACTTACACATCACCCAAAAAAGAGGAGTATTTGTATACATCTGCATGTGTTAAGTTAATGGTCAGAATTCAACATCTGGAGATTCTCCAGACACACTGACCCATGCTGAGCCAATTTCAAGGGTGTGCAAGAAGCCAATTTCAAGGGTGTGCAAGAAGCCCTGCTGCACAAATGGAAATCCTTCTTTAGGTCTTCCACTTTAACTTGAAAACATTTTCTTCTTAGATCCCAAGTTTGCAATAACTAAGGTACTGCATATTATCTTTTAATATCCCAACTAGGGACAGTTGGATAGCAGCAAAAGGAGCCTCCATCTTCCAGTCCAGGCATACAAATATATGGTTGAGAGAACAAATTAACTGCCTCATTACGGAAGGGAACAACATCAAGGCAAATATTTTGGATTTGCAAGGAGCTATGAAGAACATGAAAGCTGAGCTCAAAAGGCACGTGTCAATAATCAATGTGGTGTTGAGCGAATGTCTGATTCCAGCTTGGGAACAATTATTTTTCAGAAGGTTTGAACCTTACCAAGTTTTCCCTGAAAACTTCACAAAAATCAGTTGCATGCTATAAAACCAGTGATGTGATGAGGGCAATTCTGATGGTTGGTGGTGTTTTCTCCTGGTTAACCAGGTGCTGGACCCTCCTCCACCTGTCATACACATCTGGACTGGTGGGAAAGAGCTGCCCTCCCAACATTGATATCATTGTAGTGAGAGAGCCCAATGGTCCACTCCAGTGGGAAATGTCACACTTGAGCATCTTGCCCCATCATCCCCATTGGGAAAAGATGCTCTTGCATCATTTCTTGATGCAGGTTGCAGGAGCAACCCTTCTCTGGTGGCCTCTATGTACTCCCTCTTTCCCTGTATGAGGCTTTTATTTTCCTTGGAGGAGGGGAATGAGATAGCAGGTACTAAACACTCAAGGGGGACACATGCTTTGGAGGGCAAGCATTTTGGTTCTCACCCAACACTGCCTGCTTTTGAAAAGTGTCTGGGAGCTTCATTTGGTGCAAATACAGCTGCAGGAGCTAGAATGTTGACATGATTCCAGTTCTCAGTTCATGTTGATGGTTGGAGGTAGTTAGGCTTCTGAATACCAATTGCTGGAAACTGTGGGAGGGGAAAGGGCTCTTGTGCCCATGTCCTACTTGCAGGTTTCCCACAGGCATCTAGTTGGCCACTGGATGCTGGACTAGATGGGTCATCTGCCTGATATTCTGTTCTTATTTGCCCTATACCACTTCATTGGCTCTGAATTTGTTTCCAGGGACAATTCAAAAGGTTGGCTTTGACCATAAAAGCCCTAAATGTTCTTGTTGTTCTTGCTATTTATTTGATACCTTACCTACCTTTCACTGTAAGGTCCTACGGTGGATTATATTAATTTAAAAATACAATATGAAAATCCATTTCAAACAAATTACAGTCAAAGGAATGTGAGGTGGGCTTTTGCACTAGCATTATCTGAAGGATAATAATCCCCCCCCATGGCTTTCCCCCATGTGACCCAACCTTCATGTTCTGACTGTCTAGTGAAGAGCTGCTCTATGCCCTACCCTGAGCTGATGGCAATATGGCAGGTGAGAGAGGGCCTTCTCAGTGGTGGCACCTGGGCTTTGGAGCCCCCTGACCTGGGAGAGTTGGATGATGTCCCTCCCCATTTCTGCCTTTCCTGGAGAAGCAAAACTGGTGCTGTTGCTCAGATGAGCAACTGATTAAAGCACTCTCTAGAATAAGCTTAACTCTTCGTTTCCCCTGCACTTAAATATTTTTGGATGGTGTAACATTGTTGCTATTTTAAATGTTATTCTTATTTAAGTAATTTGTATACTTCTTTATTCATCAGTGGTTTACTGTGATAGTTAGCTGCCTTGATGGTCTTGTTTGGGGCAGAATGGGGGGTACAAGTCTTTGAATTATTATTATTATTATTATTATTATCAACACTACCATCATCCTTACCTCAACCATATACAGGATAAAGCAAGCTGAAGAGAAAATAACCTATTTAGAAACAGAGATTGAAGCCACAAAGAAAAATCAGGAAGAAGAGACTGTAACAGCATCTTTAGAGGAGCAGTATCTTAAAAAGCTGGTAGGCAAAAGAAATCTTCCTGATCAGAGTTTAAAGAGCGTGTGTGTGTGTGTGTGTGTGTGCACGCGCACGCGCGCGCACACACACACACACACACACACACACACTGCATGTCATCATTAAAACAACAAAACCCAAAGATTTGTTGGCTAGGTGAACACTGTCTGGTGATATTATTCCATAATCATTTTTTAAAAAGAACAACTGTATTGGTTTTGGACATTTACTAGTGTGGTATTTTCCGTGGAGTCAATAGCCTCCATCAACAGCCTTCACCAAGCTGATGACTTTCAGATGTTATAGACTACAACTCATACTTCCATGTGGCTTTGGGGTGTTGTAATCCAAAACATCTGTAAGGCACCACCTTGGTCAAGGCTGTCCTACCATGTAGGTGGCAAACCAAAAGCTTGTGTATTTCTATAGCATGAATACTTCAGTTAATATAGATTCCATTCTGTAGGCCTCACCAGGTATAGACCTATTTGTATTCATCATTTCATCTGCTGTGCAAAGAATAACTTACACAAATCTGAGGGAGAGCCTTGTGAATGGGAGGCTCATTGCCTACAAATAAAGGAGATTGCAAAAGCAATCGCCTGGAGGCTTTCCATATTGCCATCTGTGGACAGATATTTATCATGCGGATCCTCTGGTGTTTCCCCACACCACTACAAAACAGGAAAGAGGGAGGACTGCAGCAGAAGACACTTGCTGTTGTTATGGCATCTGCCTGGACTAGCACAGCACAGGAAACTCATTTTGCATCAGCCCAATCAAATTCAGCAGTCCTAGAACTTAGAATTGGAGAGTTGGGACTTTGAGTTGTGTGTGACACTTTCCTGAGGGTTTTCTTTAATTTGTAATGAATTGTTGCATCCCTTCAGCTGCAGCCCAAAGAGTTGGGTATATATCAATCTTTGCAACTAACTGTGGCAATTTCTTACCCTCACAGGAGAAGGATAATGAAAATTTACACTTGAGGATCTTCATGCTTTCTGAGAAGGTACACCAATAATCAGATAGGTTTCCTCTGAATTCCATATGTGCACCATGTCCTATCTTTCCCCATGTTTGTGAATGTGCTGCAAGTGTATAATTCACAATCACCTCATCAATGTCAAACCACTGAAAGTGAGTCAAGAGATGGAAAAAATAAACACTGGTTGAGTAGTGGGCTGGATTTCTGATGAAGTATTCACACCTGTAGTGGTTGGGTGGGGGCGGTGATGCTCACCTGATCTGTCACTAGCATTGCTGAGCTTCCTGGAAGGGAGATGGGCAAGGCAGTGCAGAGGCTGGCACGGTGCAAATGCACCAGAAGGAACACTGGGTGTGTTTGTGCCATGCTGGTGTGTTTACACCATACTGCCTTTCTGCCCCTCGCCAGCCTGGTAAGCACAGTGAAATTGGTGGCAGGAGGTCAGCTAAATGACGCTGCTTCTCCCCACTGACCACTATTGATTTGCACAATTGCTATTGTCAGCTCTGCATGGGCCCACCCAATCCACATTCTCAACATGCCAGTTTGGGTGCATGAACCAGTCTTCGTGTTATGCTGGTCCTGAATAACTGCATCAGATTTCCACTCTGAAATGAAATGGAAATGGAAATTGACACTGTTGCATTAGTGTTCGTTCAGTCATGTCAAAAGAATCACTTTTTTAAAAAAAATAATGTAATACATCTATTATCTTCCTGGTGCTCATCTTTCTTTGTTGTATGCCTGTGTTGGCAGCACCAAAGCCTTTTTAAAGTAGGCATGAAACAGCATGCATATCTGAATATCTACATTGTATGCTCACTTGTTGTAGAAGTCAGTGTTATGCTTGAAGCTCTAGCCTTTGACAGACCGCAGTCCTTTTCACTGCATAGCTTTGCAGTTACTCTTTAATTTCTACTGGAATAAATATTAGTGTTATTTGATAGACATTGTTCCACTCAGTCGTTCTGAAATGGATGTCTAAAGCAAAGCCAAAAATGACAAAGCAGATCCGTGATGGTGATTTCCCATTGCTTTTGTTTTGCTTACAAGCACCCCCACTGGGACTTAGGGACACAGGGACACAGGACACTGCCTTGCACCAAATCTGATCTTTGGCCAACCTAACTTAGTATTGCCTTCAGTGATGTCCACAGCTCTCCAGGATTCCAGGCAGAGGCCTCTCCCAGCCTTACCCGGTGATGCCAAGGATTGAACATGGGCCATTCCACAAGCAAACCAGACTCCACCATTGAGCAACTGCCCTTACCTTACTTCCTGGAAGTTGATAGATGTGGCCTAAGTGAGGGGGTTTTACATGTTCCTCCCATGACATTGCCCCATTGAAACTCCTTCCTCCCCACCTTGAAGCTCCTCTTAACTAACTGAGAGAAAAGACCACTAATTAGTGAAAGGAAGGAAGGAAGGAAGGAAGGAAGGAAGGAAGGAAGGTCCTTTATTCGGATCACCAGGGTCATCTCTGATTTGCCTTCTAAACACTGAGGTTGTGACAGAATAGCAAAGAAGGTTTGGGCTGGCCAGTGCATATTGGTGAGACTGAATCTGAATATTTGTGTGTTTTGTGCCCCAAACCAGAGCTCAGCGTTGACTGCATCGATGAAGATCAACCAGCAGAGTTACCTGCAGCTCTGCTGCCATGTCAACAAACTAAAAGTGAGTAAGATTATAGAACCACAATAATAAAGTAAGGTTGGAGGAGGAAGGTTAAAAGAAGTGCCCACTGAAATTAATACAAAATACATGGGGGACAATACATGGGCAATTGAGAAAAGGAGATAGCAGTATTTGTGGCATATATACGGGGGAAATGAGAAGATTTCACACATCCCTGTTTTGTTCACCTCCACATTTCCTGTTTATGTGGAACTCCAAACAGATGAAGTTCTTTTGCTGCACTATGCTAAAGTCTTCTGGCTCTGCACGCTAACACCTGGGGATGACAGATACAGGGGGGCCTGTTGAAAAAGATGGCAGTCCAAAATATCATCAGGTCATTTTCATTTTGTGCCATTGGGGATTTGGAAGATTTTGAGGATGCAATCCAAACCTCTCCCCTCGACCACAGGGCTGTGAGACCACAGCCACATATGCACCTCTGTGGTTCATTGTGGCCAAGTTGGAAGGTGGTGTGTATGTGTAGAAGATCACTGGGCAGCCTAGAGCTGTCACAAAGATGAGGCCCAGATTGGGTCCAATGCCATTGTGTGATGGTAGCGAGACTGGCTTCGAATCCAAAAGATCCCATGCCTGCACAGCCCTTCTCCACCCCACTTTGGGGCTTTTGCTGGTTACTACTAATGAGAATTCCATTGGCTTCACTGCTGTCTAGCAGGTGGAAGTGCTGCACCAGTGGAGTGACTCTTGTGTCACTCCGTCGTCATCGGCTGGTGGAAGTCCAGCTTAGCCTGCAGAGCTGGGCATAGAGACACCTCTACCCTACCCAACCTCAGTAGGACATAAAGAGGGTTTGGATGGCTCTGTTAGTGTCCATCAGCTTTTTAGTTCAACGTGAATACTTTAAAATGACTTCATCTAAAGTAAAGATATATAAATGTGTATACTTTGCTATATATTGGCACTCACATGGATTTCCGATGAGAGGCACAATCAGTTGAGAAGGTCTCCAGTACAAGCAACATTGACATGTTCTCTTGGAAGGCGACCATTTCCTTCCACTGAGGATTGAATCTCTTGGCCAGAGTGGAAAATAGAAGTCTTACTTGTGTTTGCTTCAGAGATGTTGCCAACTGAAAATTTATATATTTATTTTTAATTAGAGAGAGCTCCAGGAATGCAAACTGACCTGCGGTGAGGAGGATGAAGTTTTTACAAAGGTAAACTTAATTATCATATACATAGGAGACAGCTGAGCCAAAGTTAAGCAGTTCTGGGTTCCGTTGCTTTGGGCTAACCCTCCCATTGAAATCAATTAGGCTGTAACATACACAATTTTGCCCGTGGGTTTATTTATTATTTATTTTCCTACATTCCACCTCTCCTCCAAGGAGTCCAAGGTGCATTTTTCCCTCCCCATATTATCTGCATAACTGTTACAGTTGCTACAAATGGAATCCCTGATCTGAACTCATGTGCAAAGTAGAAAAAATGTTTCAAAGCTTCACTGGAAACAGTTTTAAAATGGTTACAGATAAACAATATAAGATATAAAATAATACCTCAAGGACCGCTTTTCCCCATATGAACTGACCTGAACCCTGTGATTATCATCTGATTATCATTCTATGTCCTTTTAAATGTGTTTATGGGAGGGGAGTTTTTTGGTGTGTGTTGTTTTTTTTTTTATTATGTATTTTGCGCTCTCATTTTGTATTTTTATGTTGTGAACCACCCTGAGATCTTTGGATGAGGGGCGGTAAACAAATTAAATAAGTAAATAATAAAATAAGTAAAATGTTGCTGTTTAACAGCGAGCAATGCAATCCCATCTTCTTTTTAGTCCTTAATACTGTTTGATATACTTTCCTCTATCTGGTCCCAGAGCGAGATCCAAAGTAACTTGCTTCTTCATCACTGCAGAGCTTAGCCGCTGCTGTGGCTGCTGTCTCCATCAATGGACTAAGACACTGAGTTTTCATGTTTCATCTTCCTGCTGTGAGAGCTCTCTGCTTGGCTTTCCAGTGATGAGTCATCAGTTAGCATAAAGGCTGAACGGAAAACATCCAACCTTTTCTGGCACATTTGCCAGAGTGAAACCTTCTCCCTAATGCAGACTTCTCTACTTTGCAAATGCAAATTTTAAATTAGTTTTTCAAACTTCAGTGCATACCAACATTACTTTTTATGCAAATTAAACTTATCTTTAGCGATAACAATCCTGTGATGTAGGTTAGGTTGAGAGACAGTGCGTGTCCCAATTACACCCAGTAAGCTTGATGGCTGGATTGGGATTTGACCCCTCATCTCTCAGGTCCTAGTCCAGCACTCTCTAACCACTGCACTAAACTGGCTGAAGCCGCTTCATCCCAGAGAAGAAATACCCATCACTTCCTTCTCCTATCTTCAGCTGATTAAAAACTATTTGACTTTTAGAAGACATCTGAAGGCAGGCCTGTTTAGGGAAGTTTTCAATGTCTGATGTTTTATTGTGCTTTCAATATTCTGTTGGGAGCTGCCCGGGGCGGGGGTAGTAGGCAATGGAAGGTTGACATTAATCAGGCCCTCTTTCTTGTTCAATGCTCAATCCCAAATCCCAAGGCTTTCAAACTAAAAGATAAGAGGGCCAGATTGATTTTCAAGGTGAGCACCAGGCTGCTTGGCCGTGCCTAGTGGTGTCTGATCTATCCCTTGAATATTGATGAAACACCTGGAATTGGTATGATCATACTAGGCAAAAATTGTAAGTGTTCTGACTAAAAACCCAAGGCAAGAAGCATTACAAGGATGAGGCAAAAGAAAAAAGGCATGTTCTTCTTTTCCAGATGAAACACCAAATCTGGGAACTGGAAGAGTATATACAAGAATACAAAGTGAAAATACAGGTATCTGTGTGAAATGCTTAACCATTGATGAACTGAATAAGGAAAGCAACAGCTGCCTAATTTAGGTTGCAGCACTAAACACACTTACCAGGGAGTAACCACAACTGAGCATGGTGGGACTTACTTTTGAGTAGGAGTGCAGGAAAAAAATTGATTCAGTGTGTGTTTAAAGCTGAATCTATCACACTCACACTTTCCAAAACAACACGCAAACCAAAACACAATTATCTTTTGAAATTTACACTTATTCAAATTTTGCAATGCAATTCTCCAGCCAATGTTTACAAAAATGCATATATTTAGGGGAAGTGTGAATAAAATATAGTGAAAATAGCATACAAAAATGCATCATATTCAGGAATATTGCTTGCAATAATGTGTACACTGATGAAAGCTACATGGAACAATGTGTTGTTAGGAGAAATTCACACTAAAATGCTGATAATTTTTCATGAGAATTTTCTTTTCTTAAAAAAATTACAATTACTGTAAATTGTGGAGAACTGAATTTTATAGTTGAAGAATGGGCAACTGAGAGAACTGAAATGGACACATCTACCCCTACTTATGAGTAAACATGCATCGGAAAGTACTGCTTTGTTTGGTAATTATGAATATTTGGATTTGGTATTTCCCCATTGGTTGTTGGGGAGGAGAGGCCATAAAATGTCAAAGCAAGGAGTGCATAACAAAGCAGATGCATAACATCTGGAGGGCAGCACACCAGCTACCCATGGAATGTATACAAAATTGCTCTAGGTCTTGATCTGTGGGGATTATCAGAGATCTCTGGGGGGAGGAAGAAGAAACAGAAACTTGAAGGGGACTTGCTGATTATTTTGTTTTCAGGTTCTTCAGGACAGAGAGAAAAGCCTGCAGGATGAGCTGTCAGCTGTTGCGAAAGACAAGGTTCGGTAAGACTCCTCTATGAGTCCAATCCTTTCTGCAACCAGTGTCAGTCCTTGAAGCATGTCAGATGAATCAAAGTCATGGTAATTCTTCTAGTGAAGAGCACAGCTTTCAGCTGTAACATATGTAATACTACTGAGCCAAAGAGACAGCAAGGAATAGCTGAGGTTATTTTATGACTGCGAGTGGTCAAGGAAACAGCAGATTCATATCATTTTCCTGAGCTATATTTGATGAGGCTGTGCCAGGGGTTGACCCAGAAGGTGCAGTCTACTATCCAAGGTATAAATGCTGATGGAAGTGAACCTTTGCAAAATTCAAAACCAATTTACTGGACCAAAGGCCAGTAAACTCATCACTCTGTTTTTATCTGGATCCATAGTTCACTCTTCACCAAATATATTTCAAACCCCACCTTTCAAGTTTTAATCACTCTGGTTGGCCTGCTCATTCATGAATTGCTTATGCCACCTATGTAATTTCACACATACACATCACATGGTCTGGACTTAAACTGCATTGGGCTAGGCTATGACCTCAATGTAATTATCTCTGGCCAGGCACTCTATTCTTCTGTAACCCTGCTTTTCCCTGGCCATGGACTCGTTTATTTTATGTATCTCTGTCCCTCAAAAGACAACAGAATTACCACAAGCGCTCCTCAAGACTGTCCCTCTATCACACTACTTTTTCCACTTGCAATGGTGTACAGTGGTACCTCTAGTTACAAGCTTAATTCGTTCTGAAGGTCCGTTCTTAACCTGAAACTGTTTTTAACTAGAAGCGTGCTTTCACTAATCTTGCTGCCGCTGCACCCCCGGCACACGATTTCCGTTCTCATCCTGGGGCAAAGTTCTCAACTCAAGGTAACTCTTCTAGGTTAGCAGAGTTTGTAACCTGAGGCATTCGTAACCTGAGGCGTTTGTAACTCGAGGTACCACTGTACATCTCAGGAAAATGCCGGCAGTTTGCTTTGTGCTGATGAAACAGAATGACATCATAGGACTAACTAGAAGAGACTGCTCCTCCTTTTGTAAAAGGAAACTATATGGCTCCACAGACAGACTGTTTATGGGCCATCTTTGTGGTAATGCAAGTGCTCTCAAAACTATTCCAATTTCCTCTTTCTTATTCTCCAGACATCCTGGCTACCTTTTAGCCATCTGGCTCTTCAGAGTTCAGTTCAGTTCAGAACAGTCAGTAATTGATTTTATGTATGATGAAATGGCTGCTTGAAAGCTTGATTCACTGTCAACCATGATCTGGGAAATAAATTCATAAATTAAAGGGATTCCTCATTTTCAGAAGCATTTATTATGCACTTCCACATTGGTCCTCATAGTCAAAGGGAACTGCTTCAGAAAGAACCCACAGAGAATCTACATTGTAACTGAAAGAGCATTAACTTATTAGGAGTTAAATTGAAAGTGTTTTACTTTGCATCCTAAACTATTATGCATGCACTTAGCCACTAGCATTGCAAGAGAAACCTTTTTAATCTTCTTTTTCCTTCAGTGATTTGATGTTGGGCCAGATATTGAGCTTGAACTCCAATACCACAAACACCATATATTTGTCTGCCTTGTTAAATATTTGGGAGGAGGGGAACAATCTTTTAGTTCTAATTCATAGTCATTAAAGGGAGTTTTATCATCATGTACATATGTACTGAAAAAGGTGGGGCAGTCTATCCTTTGCCACATTTTAACCATTATAACCAAACCATCCTGTTAATGTGGATGTGTTATGCTTACAATGTGATCTTCAGTCATTCTTGGATTTTGGCACATCCGGGCTCTGCATGTATCATGTGTAGTATGCTATGTCAAAATAACTTCAGGATCAATCCATTCCTAGTCAGTTTCACACGTGTTTATTCATAAACCGATTCCATCAATGTTTCCACATTAATCTCCTAATTCCTTTCAAAATAAAAGCCATACTGAATGCAAATACAGAAGTGTACATAAATTCATATTTTATCACAAAACAATATTCAAGCACGTCCAGTATTTTATTTCAATGTAAAATATGTATTTCCAAACCTATTTTATCCTAAAATATACATATTGGTACATTATTGGAGTGAATAACTGTATAGTAAAATTGGGTGAAATCTGAAATATAATTATGTTCTGATCTCTGCATTAGTCCCCAAGGAGCAAAGGAGGTCACTTCACTTAAAATTGTGGATGAATTGAAAATCTCCTACATCCATATGTCATATATTACATGGTTCTATCATGAAATGTTGGTTAGAAGGCTGCCAGCTCCCTCGGGGAGAGCCAGAATCTGGCTTATCCACGTGCCTTACAACATTTTCTTCTTCAAGGAACCAGAGGAAATTGTGCATTGCCCTGTTTGGGACTGCAAAGATGACACTCCTGTAATTCAGAGAGACAGAATAGCTGCTACAAAATCTGCTAATGATCCAACCTTTTTTCAATTATTTCAGACATCAGAGCAAGTTGCCAGGCAAGTTTTTGAACCTTCACCCAAAGAGCTTGATGTATGAATTGGCCAGGGCTGAACTGGTCAGTAATCTTGATTTACCCAATAAAGAGAAAGCTATCTGGTCAGTCTTGTGAGCATGAATTTTAGTTCATCGGTCAATAAAAAGGAAGGTTTTGATTTTATGCTATACATAAAGTTGACACAGTTATTGCAGCTGAACCCTGCAGGGTCAGGCCAGCAGCGTTGGCGGCTTGGTTGCCCCTGGTGTTTGGATGTGAAGGTAGAGGGAATGCTATTTAACAGCTTCTGAAAGGAAGGAAACGTGTGTTGCATGCTATGTGGCCAATGAATGCATCATAAGCTCACATTCTACATCACTGATGCTTTGTAGTAGTTCTCTTCTTAGAAAGCCAAGAAGAATGCACTGTCCTACAAGTTCTGGCTTATCAGCCTGATCTTACGATCTCTGCAGTGGCAGCAAAGTGCTGAATCTGGTACAAGAGCTTAGCACTACTCCAAGGGAATGTTTTGTCATTTTGCTGTTGGTTTGTGACTCAATTTCAGCCTCTGTGCTGTGTTTCAATAACCCCCCTCCCAAACATAGGTGTGGCACTTTTGCTGTTTTGCTAGCATACTGGTTATATACCTTCAGCATTTGAGGCAGCATGCCTCTGAATGCCAGTGGCTGAGAAATAACAGTGGTAAGGAATCTCACTGGCCACTTTAGGAAACACAGTGCTGAACTAAATAGGCCTTTAGGTTGATTCAGAAAGGGCTATTCTTATTATATATTGCTCATCACAAGCGGTTAAAATAGCCATAGGTGCTGTTCTACCTGCTGTAGTGCAAACTTGGGCTTGCCTCACAACAGCTGGCATGTGTGACTCACTTTGGAGAGTCACACAATTTAGAACCTTAAAACTCCCAGTAATGAACTGCTTTGAGTTCCTTGTTCATTTACTACTACAAGCATATGTGTGATGAAGGGGTAACTTTTTCCAACTATCTTTTTAACTACAGGAAGAAAAAATGCGAAGAGAAGAGAAATTTGTGAAGAAACAGCTTTGTGGTGGTAGGTTAGTGATGAAAATGTTTACTATTTGTCACCACCTTCTCACTTTTTAAAAACACTCACCCATAAATGTATAACAATGCAGACATTTGCAGCAATAGCCTCTGGCTTGTATTTCATATAGTCATATTACTTTGGGAAATGGGAGTTTGTCCCCATTATTTATGGTGAGACTGTGTGAGACTTCTGCTTGGATTTTCATAACTCTATGATTAACTGGTTATGGTACCAAATTCCATAAAATAACCAGAATCCAGAGGTGGGTTTTACCTTTCATCCATGGCAGTACTGCCTGTTCCAAACAATGCTGGGACTTAACAAACCCAGCAAGATTCTGTTACAGGTTTGGAAACCTTCATTAACCACAAAACTGTGAAAGTACCACTGGCAAAAGGGAATAAGAGAAGAAGAAACTCCAGATGCTAAACAGAGGGCATTGAAAAGTACATATGAATACAGACAATGCAAATAAATAACAATGACTTCCTTCCACCCATCAAGATATGTGGAAGAAGTACTGATGTGTGTTTTTTCCAATGGTTGTCTAATATTGAAACTGTCCATTTTCTGATGTGGAGTAATTAATGTTAGAATTCCTGCTCCATGATTGCAGTCATGGGATTGTTGTCTATCACATGATGGTGTATGTTTTGACTCCACAGAGTGGGAAGTGATGAAGACAGGATGTTTGTGTTACTGTGTTCCGTAAAGTGGGACTATTGTCCTTTGTGCTTTTTCTCTTTGCTGTCTGATGCTTGAGAGAGAGGGAGCCATGTTGCAGTGCTCCATGTGTGTTTATATGTAAATAAAGTAGATTAGCCAAAATGCTGAGTTGCTGAGGTCTGTTACGCAAGCTGCAAAGACTCTGCAGATCCCTAAGTGTGCCGGTGTCTGTTGGCATCGGTTGCTGTGATGTTCGGGTTGAAGAAAGCTTTTGAAGCTCCCAAACGAACGACCAGGAGGGAGAGAACATGCCAGTTGGGCATGTGTCTCTACCAGGGTCCTACTCAAGTGTAGGATGAGCTCCTGACAATTAATAGGTATAACAAATGAGCAAGGTACATGGAAGGTATTATTAGGTGTGACCAGCCCTGTCCACCTGGTATTCCCAGGCATGCTACTTAGCATCTTCTACAAATCAGGCCCATTCAAGGTAAAATGAAAGACACTGTCAAACTAGGAGATGTGTACAAGCAAACATGTAACTGGGCATGGAGGGTACAGGGATGGGTGAAGCAGCAAAGCATATTGTTCATAATCTCTGAAGCATGTTCTGAAGTACTTAACAATTATCATCTCCAACTTCCAGTGAAGAAGGCTAGGGTGAGGAATACTGACTTGCTCTAAAGTGGCCTCCCAATTTTTCTCACAGGCCCATATAAGTTCAGCACAAACAGTTGGGCCTGGTGAGCATTTAAGGTCCCCAACTCTAATCTGCAGGTTGCCATGTGATTGGATTTTATTCTGATCCTGATGTGATTTGAGGATGTATTTTAATTGATTGTCTGATTTTATGTTAATGTGTTATACATTTGATTTTAGCCGCTCTGAGCCTGGCTTCAGCTGGGGAGGGTGGGATATAAATAAAATTTATTATTATTATTATTATTATTATTATTATTATTATTATTATTATTTCAAAGAACTTTATTATTGCAGGGATTTGAACATGATTCTGCCACATTCAAATAAAAAATACTAGCCATGGAACCATACAGATAGGAAGGAATCGAATGGTCCATTGCCATGTTCATCTTAGGCTATTGTGGTATTAGATGTTTAAATAATGGTGTTTGTGTTACATTTTCCTCATCTGTAATTGGAATGCAATGTCAGCCTTGATTGGCTTGAATGTATCTTCATTTTCAGCCAAAATGGATTTCTTCCAGTTAAACGCATTACAAAACCAACAATCATAATGTGCTCAGATAATACGAAAGGGCCCCACAGTGGTGCTTTTAGTGTCACTTGCTAAAAACCCTTGGAGTCAATTCTCCTTCATTAAAAGCCCAAAGTTCTCTCTGCTTTGAGTGACAACCTTTCGGAACCTGCTTATGTGCTCATTTTGCCCCATCAACAGATTGTCACTTGGGACCAAGAGAGGACAATGTCACCCTGCCTTGTCTTTATAAACTGCAGGCCTCTCTTTTCTTATTTCACAGGACAAAGATCACCTGGGTCTTGATAGGCTTGTGGCACTTTGCTGGTGTCCTGCTGGTGATTGTCTTGACCATCCTGCTAGTCACCGTCTTCATCCTCACTGCCTGCCTTTCCAATCACACAGTGACAGAGGCATATCAGCGGCCTGTGTGGCAGTTCCTGGACTATTACATCCAACCATATATGCAACTCTACAGCACCGGCATCTTACCAAAGTGACCTCAGGATTGGAAGAAGCTGCCGACTAGAGAGAGCCTGTCATTATAATGTATCTCAGAGTGTGGATAAAGCTCATAACCTATCAAGGTTCTCTGGTGTGTAATGATTTGGGAGTGTAATTCCACACACACACACACACACACACACACACACACACACACTGTACCTTACCTATCACTGGAGGCATGCTCAGTTTGTGATATGCCAAGCCAAATACAGCACAATACCCATGTAAGGGCAGGCTGTCCTGGGCGCTATAAACATCCTGGTTTTACTTCCTGTCTGGAGTATAAAAACAGAGGCAGATTAAGCACAGCACATGCAATGTTATAAATTGTATAGGTATGCATTAACAAACTACATACAATCTTCACTGGAGATCTTAGCATGCATTGTGCCAATGTGCTGTCCCATGTTTCCTCCTGCCCTTCTATTTATCTCTGTGTATAGGACAATAATGTGCTTGGTGTCAATTTATCCTTCTGTCTTTTTCTTAGCCAGAGTTGGGGAGAATCAATCTGCTTCTTGATTATGTAGAGAGGTTCACATTACAAACATGTTATGGGGAATAATGGTGCCCCATCTATGCCGCACCTCTTAATACAATATTTGTAACATATAATATTAACTGAACTATTGTTGCATAATCCCTGTGCCATTATTATTTATCCATTAGGCGTAAAACTTCTAGATATCATATCATAGTATATGTTTGCCCTGTTATGCTTGGCTGCATTAAGAAGTCCTACATCCTTTAGGTGTTTTTTTGCAACAGGATCTGTCTCATGTTGAAAGCAAACATGGAAATATTCTACAACACATGATGTTTCAGCCAGCTCTCTTCCAGAAAACACCCACTACCTACCTATACAGTGGCCAACATCTGAATAAAACCAGATTTATTTAGCTTCAGTCAGGTCCCGATATTGGAGCATCCTGGATAGTGCAAGGTTGCCAACTTTACTAGTTTGGCCAGTAAACTGTTCTGTCAGATAAACAGCACTGGGTTCAGAGAAGCCAGTAAACTTCAGATTCTGACAGGCAGCACACATGATCCAGCAGCTTCTGTCAGATTTCACCCATAAGTCATGTCACCAAGATTTGCTCTGGCTCTAGCCCCGATCCACCCCATTCATCTTGGCTTTGCTCCTAAAATGGCTCTGCTCCTCAGTGGTGTGCAGTGATATTTTTAAATAGAGGGACAGTTAGGGCCAGAGACACCAACTTGCAAATGTGATGGGGGCAGTCTGTCAACGTTGCATGTGTGAGCATTGCACCTCCCTCTCTAAGCTGGACAGAAGCTTCCTTGGCTTTGGGAAGGAGGTGCCCCATACTTTAATACTCTAATTTACCAGGAACATTTTGGGAACTAGCCTAGTCCCCCTAGGCCACTGACCACATGCCACTGGTACCTTCTCACTACTGTGACATTTTTACCAAAATATGCTTTAAAATAGAGCTTTGTGGGTATCAGGGTGGAAGAATGTGGGGTATACAGGCCGAATTATCAGGATGTGAGAGCCTGCTCATGCCTAGAAAACCACCACTACCTATTCTAGCGCAGGGTTGCCTCGTACCTCCTTTCCTTCTTAGCACCAGTTCAGGGAGTGGCACTACAGGTCACCTTCCTCCTCTTCAGCCTCAGTTTTGCTCTTGCAGAAGAAGAGGAACAAGAAAGATGGAGACAAAACTAGAGTGTGTTGACTCTGTCTCTCATGAGGAGATTTCACCCCTCCCATATCCAAGAATCTGCTGATTCTCCAGAGAGGAGGGGGGGTTTCTGCTCTCTACTTATTCCGCTCCAGTTGTGTCGGAGAGAGAGACTGAGTGTTAGAGAGAGATCGTGTGTATAGATAAGGTTGCTGCTAAGAGCAGCTGCAGACACTCAGTGCAATTCAGCATTCATTTTATGTTTAGATCTCATTTAGCTCTGTATATAGTTGTGTATTATAGTTGCTGATAGAATAAAGAAGATATTCTACAGAGCTGCTCTCCGAGTCATTTATGTTCTGCTATACTCTGCTGTGCGACGACTGTCTTCTTGTGGAAGTGAATCCAGTGCTCACAACTCTAAGCTGTGAGTCCACAGCACTTTGACCTGTTCCTGTGCAGAAGGTGGTCTCTGGAAGTGCTACCCAGCTTGCCTAGCCCAGTAGGGGCTGAAGTGGATGAGTCCAGTCTGTGGCACTGGCTCAAGGGCGATGCTGACATCTCATTGGCTCTGGCTTCACCTACTATTGGTCTACCTGCCTTCTGCCCTGTGAGTCCTAAAGAGCAATAACTACCACTATGTACAAATAACTCATTCTCCAAGTGCCAATTCTTATGTAGCCAAAATGACATCATCTGTGGACAAGACAGAGGTATCAGAAAGCTCAGGGGAGCCAAAACAACTCAGTGAAGACAGAGAGAAAATGAGGATGAAAGCAGCATTGGGACGTGGGAGCTGCCTGGCTCCTGAACATGCACAGTCCGTAAGGCAAAAATGGGTTATGGGTCTCACTTCTTAGAAGGCTAGGCACCAATTCTTACTGTTATGTTTGCCATATAATGCTTGTAAATAATATAACCATTACACGTTAAGTGTGCTTGCTTGGTTATTTAATTGGTTATCAAAGCAAAGATAAGATTTAATGGAAAGAGCTTTGTTGCAATATGAATGGATTAACTGTGAATGGAAGAAATCTTATCACATGGCAAGCTTGTGGGCTGGTAATGATGTCTCAACAGGCCACGTAAATTGGTATCTGAGCCTTTCTTACACGCAGGAAGATGAGGGTTGTATTATGCTGCATTTGGCTTGCTTGACACCACAACAAGCTTGCCATTATTTGATATAATTAGTTCTGTGTCAAAAAAAAATCCTCCCACCTTTTTGTAAAGTATTCTCCAACAATTAATGAGGAAAGAAATTGCTTTTGAAAATTATCAAAGCAATTAAGGCAGTGACTTGCCCCATATCACCCAAGGAGTTCATGCCTGACGAGGGATTTGAAACTAGGCCTCTCATTCCAGCAATCAAATAGGGAAACCCACAAGATCATTGATACACTCTAGCCCCCTTCATAAGTTATGCCCCCAGTACCCATGTGTGTTGCACATAGACGTCCACAGTGAATATGTTTCAGAAGAATTGGTCGTCCACTCCATGAATCTTGCTAGTAGATCATCCCTGTGACCGGCAGCTATCCAGCAGTTTAACTTTAGTTCAAAAGATGGTCTATAAGAAAGATGTATATATCATTGTGAGATCTCTTCACATGGAGGCACCTGGTGGAATCATTCCAAGAGACATGCCACAGATACCTATTGTTTCTAGTGCAGTTGGGTTATGTCCCCCCCCCCCCATGAAACATTTTCCTCTCGTCCCCTTCCCTATTGACAGCATCCAGTGAAAGAAATGGCAAATTCAGTATATACAGTGGTACCTCGGGTTAAGAACTTAATTCGTTCCAGAGGTCCATTCTTAACCTGAAACTGTTCTTAACCCGAGGTACCACTTTAGCTAATGGGGCCTCCCACTGCTGCCGCGCCAACATTGCACAATTTCTGTTCTCATCCTGAAGCAAAGTTCTTAACCCAAGGTACTATTTCTGGGTTAGCGGAGTCTGTAACCTAAAACATCTGTAACCTGAGGTACCACAGTATCATCCCCCAAGGAGGCTGAAAAAGGAGTTACATTAAAGAATCTCTCCTTCACAATGCGTTCGGCAGAGGATTGGTGATGAGGAGATAACATGTGTATACTGGGTTGGATCCACACTAAGGCTGCAATCCTAACCCCACTTACTTGGAAATTAGACCCATTGGATTCAATAGGACCTGGGCAAATATTGTTAGATTGCACTGTAAAGTGCACAAGTCTCATTGCAATCAATATAAAGAGTTATTCATGAATAACTTAAGTCCCATTGATTTTAGTGGTAACAAAACAGCACTTGCTTGGTCTGGATTCAACCTACTATATCTAAGCACCCACTCCAGAACACTGAAGAAAATGAGCTATCTGTTATATGTTAATCTTGCAGATTGTGTTGTTCCACCTGAGCCTTTATGCTATTCCCAATACATTGCTACTTGATTATGTTCTTATTATCATTCCATAGTGTTAGTCTGCTGCTTTCTGCTGGCAAGCTCTTATTACTACACTCTACATGTCTTGGTGGTTTTATTTCTTCCCTACCTGTACGATTTTTTTCTTCTTTAAAAAGGCATTTGTTTCCTCTGCCTATCTCAGGGCAAGTAATGTGCAAATATCACCTCTAGGGTTGCTGCATTAGAAGTCAGGAACAGTGGTGTATGTCCTGGATATGAAAGGTTCTCCTGCAACTTCTTCACCATATATGTGCACCCAAGTCTAACCATTGCTTGCTGAAGAATCTTCTGCTTTTCCATGTTTTGCTGGTAAGTTCTCATTTATTTTGAAATGCATCATATGGGAATTAAACAACAAGAACAGTGAGAAATTTAGATGGGAGATTAATTGGTTTATACTTATTAAAATGGAAAAAGATGGATTTTGATTACCCATCACATAATATTTTTTAATTTTTTAGAGAAATATGGTCTTTCTGTTGAGTGGTTTGAGTCTCAGGGCAGTGCATTATTCTCTGACAATGAATGTGGCCATTTCAAGAGGGTGCATAAAGGTCTGAGCATGCTGTGACAAAAGCAGAAATGTTTTCATCTCTTTCAACAGAAAATGGAAGGAAGGAACCATTTTATTTTCTTAAATAATACTTGTAGGAATAAACAAATATATAAATAGCAGCATCCTATTTATGCTTACAGAGAAGTCCCACTGAGTTCATTGAGACTCACTCCCAATGAGAAAGTGTGCATCAGATTGCAGCTTTAGTGTAATACATTGATGTTGCATAAAAAGACAGTATAATCAAAGACGTGAAATATGCCTACCACAAAGGGGTGTTAAGCACTACAAGGTCTATAGTTAATATGTGCCATGTTCCAAGAAGAAGGTGTTCAGATTTTGGAGCTGTAAGCTCGTCTATGCTTCCAGGTATCATAAGAAAGCTGCAGAGATAGTGCAGGATAGCACACACCCCGGAAATGATCTCTTTCAGCTTCTGCCTTCTGGAAGAAGGTACAGGGTTAGAAAGACTAGAACTAGCCGCCTGAGAAACAGTTTTTATCCAAATGCGATTTTGGTTTTAAACGCAGTATAAGGTAGTCTCTGTAGGAGTATATTGTATTTCATTATGGAGTATCAGAGTTTTTAGGGGGTTAACCAGGCTGGGATAGCTGGGATAGCAGGCTTGTTGGCTTTTGAATGTCTGCCGTAGATTTTTTCAATTTCATTGTTCTGTATGGGACAATGACAATAGAGATTATCGTAGCGTAGCGTAACAGTACACATTTGGATACGCACATGCAATTACCTAAACCTTGGGACTGGTGATCAGCTTCCCAATAACATTAAATTAGTGTTGTGCAGAAAATTTATTGCATCTTTTCAACCATTCCTCATTAATGAGAAGAGAAATTGCATTCAAAAATGATCAAAGATGATGGGGTGGGGAATCAGTTACATTCTCATGGTTTCTTCCATGCTTACTTCACTTCCAAGGTGGTCAGAGGTTTTTTGTGTGTGTCCTTTCTTTCATTCTATAATCTCATCAGTGTTCTGCACTCTGTAGGCTTCCCATGCTTCAGTTAAGCCCTGGGGGAAGACATCCTGTGCAGTGGTATAGTGGTCCAGTGTTGCAGGGGATTGAAGACCTGTTGCTGTTTCTGCAATAGGGTCCCTATTCCAAATCCTAAATCTGCCCAATCAGCACCAAAGAGAAGCTTTTCAGTCACGGTATGCTCCAAAACTAAGCATTTAGAGACACTGAAAACACAATGTGCTTCAGTGTTTTGTTTTTTGTTTATATTAGATTTTATAAACAGGGGTCATAGGAATAATAAATGGTATAATTAAAAAGACCAAGTCTTCTAATGTCATCTGTACATTGCAAAAACAGCATAATAAATTTGCAATAATATCTACAACATAGGATTCATTATTAGTGGTCAATGTGCAAGTCCTTGGTTTAAATAAACCAAGTGGATTGGATGGATTAAATAAAAACAGCAAATGGAAACAGGATAGAACTACTCAGCTCTGTTCTGTTTAAAGCTTCCTATCTTTATTATTATTATTATTTGGTTAGGAAGAAAAGAGGGGGAAAGAGGGGGGAAATGGTAAGTAGGGTGGGTCTGGGTGGTTATGCTTCTATTCTTCTACAATGTGCTTCAGTTTCAAGAGAATGGTGTGCAAGTTCAGTTGTGTACAATGGAACATCGTGGAAAACACAAGTCAGCTCAGAAGAAGGTAGTTGAGCACTCCAAATCATTTGTCCATGCATGTTCTCAGAAATTATCTAATTCAAAGGCAACACATGGAGGTCTGCATTAATTGTTGCAATGCAGTCCTAATTGTTGTTGTTGTTGTTGTAAAATGGTAATATCATTGTATAATCTTAGAAGGCTGCATGTGAGTGTGAGGAAGCATGGCTTTGAGTACAATGAAAGAACCCTGCAGACTGCAGAGTGTTAGAGCCATGTGTCATGGAACTGACATCGGAGCTAGAGGTGGAGGGAAGGCTCTCTAATGATGCTGGAGAAGGGCCCAGCAGGGAGAGAGGCAGCTCAGCAGATGGGGAAGCAATTCAGTGCAACACCAGGAATAAGGAGGGGCAGATGGGGAATCGGCGAGAGGGCTCCCAGACTCTTCACCGGACACCAGCGGGGAGAGCACTGGTCCTCCGCTACCCACGCCCTCCCTGCGCAGAAGACTTCCGCGCAGAGAAAGTAGGAGGAGACTGGGTGTCAAACAACTTTTATGTTGGAAAAGGTTTAAGAAACGCCCACTGACGGATTCTGCTAGTGACTGAGGCAGCCACGAATTGAAGGGCTGTCCAGACAGAAAGGTTTAACAAGGCAACATAGCCAGGAGAGGCGGCAACCTACGCACGAGCAACCCCATACCATTATACCATGCTTATAAGAAAGAGAACCCTTGGCCACCTAGCAGTGATAAGGGAAGATCAAGACCCCACCCCCACTAAAGAAATTCTGAAATGCCCCGAAAATGAGGAAGAAAAATGGAAATCCCTTTTCACAGAACACGGAGAAATTTGAGAGTTTGGCAGGATGTTGCAACATGTACTTCCATATCTGGCTTTCAGAAAGCAAACTGAAGAAAAAAGTAATTGGCTTGAATTACACACACACACACACACATTGATTTTCAAGATAAGAATACAAATATAAAGAAAAAAGTAAACATATAACCAAGCTTATCGACTGAAACATTGGTGTAGGTGAGCACGTAATGCAGTATTATTATAAATGTCCTCTCAATTATTATTTATTATTATTTTAAGAATGGTATGGTTATGACTCGACTGCACCGATAACAAAAAGGAAGTTGGACAATCACCATGTGTGCATGATTATGAAGTCCATATAGATTTGGCTGTTTCTGACAGAGAGATGCACATATCTTGGTCTATGATAAAGGGATACCCTGTTGCAGCTTTAAGTTGAATGTTATCTTTGCAGAGATTTCAATAAACAAGTCGTTCTTATACGAAGATTGTATAGACAGATTTTCTAATTCCTTCCAATTAGAAGGACTAGTGGCAATTAATAAAAATGTCAACAGATAGAATATCCTTGTTTAATCCTTGATTCCCACCCCACCCCCACCCCCACCCCGCAAAAATTCTGGAGCACAATGAATTGATTTTTGCAGTATTCTTCCCCCATTTCTGTATGTCTCACTATCCAAAATGCTTATAAGTGTGAGCACTTCCACCATAAATGGAAATAAGTTCCTTTTCTGTCAGATCCATGCCAGCACTTGATGTTTATAGTCAATGTAAATGTCTGAGTCCAGCAACATCTGGAAAACCATAGGTTTCACATCCCTGATATTACATTTCTGCATCACATTCCACAAGAAAATGTCTCAAAGTGATTTACGAATCCATAAAATACCACACAGTTTGGCAATCATTTAAAAACCATACCTACAGAAGAAATACAACAGAACAAGATTTCTCCATCAACAATAATTATAATAATAATGAACGCCACGAAACAGGTCAAAGTCTTACGGCACTACATTCCAAGTGAATGACCCAAAGTCTGGGCAAAAAGCCAGGCACCTAAAAGATGGCAATGATGGTTCCAAGCATGTTTTCCTGAAGACAACATTCCACACTCCCTAAAAGGGAGCAAAAGAAGCACATGCAAATATGCACTGGAAGAAAATGATAATTTATCTCACTTCTCTTTAGCATCCTGATTTTGAGTATAGCAGAGTAGTGAATATTCACTGGAAAGGGATTAATCTGCAAAATTACCCTGACACACCTTTTGAACAGGCCTTTCCTCCCCCAAAATGATGCTTTAATGACAATCAGATGCTTCCGAGAATATTAAATTATTCATGCTGTTTAGAGTCTGCAGCCTTCTTCCAACAGCTCATCGCTTGAAACGACTCCAGTGCTGTTGGCTGAAGCATTGCAGCTGAAAGTTTCGACTGTGATAGGCAAAGCCGAGAAGGAGTGGATAACATTTATTAAGCAGCCAGCACTGAGATCAGCATCTTGGCTGAGGAGAGCTTTGCAAACTCCACTCAGCCACTTGTCTTGCAATGATAAATAGATCTTCTCTGCAGAAGGAGCAGTGCTTAATCAGTTCCAACCCCTTTGACAGCAAAAATGATCTTCTGGATGGAAAAAATGGATGTTGTGGGAAAGACAGAAGAGTCATTCCTTGTCTTTTGCAAACTAGAGGGTGTTCCAAGGTACCAACATAGAGAGGGTGCTACCTTTTGATTTTGATTTTTTTTTAAATTAGTCAGACATGTTTGGAGAGATTGCAACTGAATTCAATAAAGTCTCCAGTTTCTGAGGAGCTGAGGTTGAAGACATGGAGCAACACCCAAGATGCTAACCTATGGTATATGAATTCCAGCTGCTGCCTCTCCTGAAGTCTCCTGCAGACACAGCTGGCCTAAAGTACTGTAGGGCATCTGTTGAAGACATTGGGCTTACGATGATCTATGGCTCGTTCAGGGCATTCTCAAAATAGCCGCACAAGCAAGCTGGCTGACACAATCTCAGCACATCAGAGTTTGGGAAGAAGGGACATTCATTTTCTCCTGAAAACTGTATTACGCTCCCAAAATTGGAGGACGGCATTTTGTTTTTCTTTCTAACTTTGAACAATTACTAAATAATTTTATTCATCTGCCATCCATCTCAGATATTGCTGCAGCAGAGACCTGACATGGGCTTCCTATTCACCTCATTTCTGCTTCCATATTATGACAGAGACACTAATCACCGATAGAGAAGAAAGAGCTCCCGTAAATAATTTTATCCCATCAGCATCCTGTCTGCAACAGAAGAGAAAGCCTGGTGCTTGGGAGGGGAATCAATTCAGACTTTGGTTCATTTTCTGAATGCAGCCCCACTGGGAACACTGAATTCAGCAGTAACAATGGAATCTACTCAGCAACATGAGGAGGGTTCTTTAAGTGGCCCAGGAAAAGAATCCCCTTAGGCGGGCAAGGAAATAGTGGTAAGAGGGAATCTATATTTATTTTTTGAATTTTACCATGAATAACGCTGCTGCATCCTGGAGTGTCTGCTAATTATCTCCCTAGAATTTGCAGGTCTTTCCAGGATTTTTGCTGGATTTCAGATCTTTTGCCATAGTTTGCATGTATAGTGAGTAGCTTTGCACCCTTAGGAATTGGATGGGATGGGATGGGAAAGGAAAGGAAAATACCCCCCAAATGCAAGCTGCAATCTTATATACACTTACTTGGGAGTAAGCTCCACTGAAAATAATGAGACATATAGGATTGTATTGTCAACCACTAACCCAAGGTTGATGAAGCTGGGGGCCTTCAGATGCTGCTGGATTACAACATCCAACATTCCTGGCCATTGGCCATGTTTGACTGAGGCTGGCAAGAGTCCAACAACATTTGGAGGGCCACAGCTTTCACACCCCTGCTTGAACCATTCTTTTTAACCATATATTTTTCCAGGAGACTGAAATAATTCATTCATACTGTAAACAAGGCTCCTCATCCCACATCTCCATTGCAACCCTACAGAATCTGTTAATATGGCACAACCTTCTGCTAAGAAGGATGGCGATCACCTATTGTTAAGGTTTTGAAAAGCAAGAGTGCAACAAGTATGTGTATGTGTGTGTGAAGAAGAGTAAAGGTACGACTAATATTTATTATGTTTTTTATTAAGATCAAAATTTGGAGAATCAGTCAACATGCTGAAGGAGAGCCAGATCTACCTATGTATCTTCTTTTTGCTTGCATTTGGGATATTGTATGAGTTCTCCCTAGAACCTGGTTGCTTCTTTTCCTGCAAACCTGTTGCTAAACAACTTGTGATGCCCCAAGATGTCCTCTCTAAGGGGAGAAGTATCATCTTTCTGGAAACAACTGACCATCTACAGCCTCCACCACTGGTTTTATGCTCTGTCGAATCTGCTGCTAGAATCTATTCGGACAGAGCCATCTTTTTCTTTATGCAAGGGCTGAACAATAGCACAATGACAGATTTCAAGTTGACTTCCCCTTCGCTGTCTTTCTTATCGGCTATGAAGAATGTTTTCCTTTTTCCCCTGGAGATGGACATTTTGTTCCAAGACACACCTCTGTTCCGGTGGTACCATCAGGTGAGAGAGAAAGAGGTATTGTTTTCTGGTGGGATGCATTAATTGCAAAGTTAGTTGTAAAATATTTTTGGTGACAAATATCAATCCCCCTTTTAAAAATGCAAACTGTTTACTGGTGACTTTATCAGTGCAAAGGAAAAGAAATTGTTAACTGCCTTTTCCTACCAAGACACTGAAATGTCATTGTATGCTTAAATTTAGTAATGTTTGGTGAAGATACAACTTCAAAGCATGTTTTATTATATCCTTTGGTTCATTTTACCGAATACAGCACAGTATTAGTAATCACCATGCATGGCAATCAGCCCAGGTAGTGAGGAGAATTCGGGAGAAAGAGTCAATATGATGAAAAAGAACAAACCATCATATACAGTGGTACCTCAGGTTAAGAACTTAATTCATTCTGGAGGTCCGTTCTTAACCTGAAACTGTTCTTAACCTTAAGCACCACTTTAGCTAATGGGGCCTCCCACTGCTGCCACGCCGCTGCTGCACGATTTCTGTTCTCATCCTGAAGCAAAGTTCTTAACCCAAGGTACTATTTCTGGGTTAGCGGAGTCTGTAACCTGAAGCGTCTGTAACCTAAAGCGTCTGTAACCCGAGGTACCACTGTATTACACTTGCACTGGGCTTCAGAGTTTCAAATTCACAATTTCTGTTTTCCAAAAATTCTGAATAAACTGGCTACAGTGGTACCTCAGATTACAGATGCTTCAGGTTACAGACTCCGCTAACCCAGAAATAGTACCTCAGGTTAAGAACTTTGCTTCAGGATGAGAACAGAAATTGTGCTCCAGTGGCGCCGTGGCAGCAGGAGGCCCCATTAGCAAAAGTGGTGCTTTTTAAGAACAGTTTCAGGTTAAGAACGAACCTCCGGAACAAATTAAGTTCATAACCAGAGGTACCACTGTAGTACTATTCAGCATGTTAAAAATTGATGTTTTCCTTTTACACTAAATATATGCCAATGAAGCTCAGTATTGTTTGACTGGCAGCATTTCTCCAGGGTCTCAGGCAGAAGTTTTGCTCATCACCTACCTGATCATTTGAACTGGAGATAGTGGGAATTAAACCTGGGGTGTTCAACAGGCAAAACATGATGTCTGTGGTCTACCGCTGGGCTCTGCTCCCACCCACAGGTTAAGTGGCCTCTGCAGGAGCTGAGATACTGATTGATGCAGTGAACCCACTGATACGTTCAGGCCCTACACTTTCTCAGGTATGCCTGCATAGAGGTGAGGTCTTTTCTAGTGGGAAGTCACATCCAGAATTTGAACCTAGGCTCACATACATGTGACACCTGAGCTGTTCCAGTAGTGGAAATATTGCAGACATTGAAAGGAAGAAGTAAGGAGTATGTCTTAGGAGCTAGGGGCTGTCCCTTGATTCTATGTCCATTTTTAACCCTGCAGGTGAATGCAACACAGGAGAAGAACTGGGTCTATATTATCTCTGATGCAATCAGGCTTGCAATGGTGTGGAAATACGGTGGGACTTATATGGACACAGATGTCATTTCCATCCAACCCATCCCAGTGACCAACTTCTTGGCAGCCCAGTCTTCCCAGTTCTCCAGCAATGGGATCCTTGGTTTTCAGCGTCATCACTGGTTCCTCTGGGACTGCATGGTAGATTTTGTTCAGCACTACAATGGAGCCATCTGGGGACATCAGGGACCTCACTTAATCACAAGGATGCTAAAGAAGCTGTGTAACCTCACAGATTTCAATAATGTGGAGGATCAGACATGTCACAACATTTCCTTCTTGCACCCCCAGCGCTTCTATCCCATCCCCTACACACTGTGGCATAAGTACTATGAAGTGTGGGATTCAAAGCCAGACTTCAATGAGTCCTACGCTTTGCACCTGTGGAACTTCATGAACAGGAAAGAGAAGAGAAATGTGACCATTGGGAGCAATTTCCTGGTGGAAAACCTGTTCAGAACACATTGCCCTACTACTTACCAGAGTCTTATTCAAGCTGCACAAAGAAGCAAACAGATGTCTCAAAATAAAACTAGCCCATTGTGGTAAAGCAAAAGGAGGATATGTTACCATATGCAATACTTATCCTATTAGGCGTATAATTTAGGAACCTCGGGCTCCCAAGCAGATCACCTTCCACTTCAAGATGATTTTTAATATTCTCAGGGGGGATGGAAATCAGAGAATTGCAGACTTGGAAAGGGCCCTGAATGAAAAGCATCTCAAAGAATTTCATCTAAAGCATCCCTGACAAATGGCCATCCAACCTCTGCTTATAAACCTACAAAGAAGTAGCGTTCACCACTCTCTGAGGCAGGGGAGTACGAAATAGGGGGTGGAGGGGGCGGGCCGCCCCGGGTGCCACTCTGGAGGGGGTGACAAGATGGCCCCTGCCTCCCCCCAGCTGTAGAGTGGCCGAGGGCGCGCACAGTCAGTATGGACTCCGCTCGTGCGACCGTACGGGCCCAGTGACGCACGCACGATGTCCGTACAGAGTATGCATGTGCGGCATACCGTACGGAGTGCGCACGTGCGGTGACCGTACGGGCTGCTGTGCATGTGCACTCTGTACGGGATGCCCCACATGCACACTCAGTACAGGATGCCACTTGCGTGGCACTCCGTACAGCCACCGCACGCACGTGGCAGCCCATACGGAGTGCACATGCGCGGCAACCCATACGGTCACCGCACGTGCGCACTCCGTACGGTATGCCGCACATGCATACTCTGTACGGACATCGTGCGTGCGTCACCGGGCAGTTCGCCCCGCTCCTCGGCGTCCCGCCCCAGGTGCCGAAGTGGGTTCTTCTGCCACTGCTCTGAGGGAGCCCATTCCACTGTTGAACAGTTCTTACCATCAACAAGTTCTTTTTGAAGTTGAGGTAGAATCTTCTTTCTTGTAACTTGAATCCATTGGTTTGAATCCTACCCTCCAAAGCGGGTGGGAGGGGGGACTTGCTCCATCTTCCATGTCATAGGCCTTAAGATGTTTGAAGAAGGCTATCATATTTCCTCTCAGTCTCCTCTTATCCAAGCAAAGCATACCCAACTCCTTCATCCATTCCTCATAATGGGAAAATAACTTGAGAGAGATTAGAATGCCATGGTTTGGCAGCAATGCCACCTGGGGGAAACTCCATAATAGCTGAATAAATAATAAAATAAATGGCTATAGATGGAATAATAATTGCCATTTCCTACATAATTCTATCTTTTGCTACTGCCACTGAAGTCAGGCAGTTTTTTTAAAAAAAACAATGTCTATAGCCCTGTTGATACACATCATGCTAAAATGCTATGTGTTTGTTGTGGTGATGGATACTATGTTGTGCATCTGTTTGCATCTGCTTTTCATTATTCTGTGGTTGATATAATAAATAAAGCTGTAACAAATAAAGAAGACTGTTTTCCAGGGCAATCCTGTACATATCTAATTTAGAAGTAAGCTCCGTTGAATTCAATGGAGCTTATGTCCAAATAATACAGGATTTCAACCTTCGGTATGTATGCAGGAATACTGGGTCTTGACACAATGAATGATGGTCTTTGTCCTGCTATTCTTATATGTATTGTTCTTCATTTGACCCTCCTGCCTCCTTTTTAATAGATAAGCTACAGTCAACTGTCTGGTAATGGTGTAGCTTATTTATATACCATATTTATATGACAATTTGATTGCATGCAGAAATAGGTGTCTACTAACTTCTGAACTTAACTACATATATTATCCTCTTCAACTTTCCTAGTACCTTTTTTTGTGGGGGGGGGGAGAGGCCTTTCCTTGCTTTGACAGGCACTCAATACACCACTTATTAAGGGGCACTGAAAGGACAAGGACAAAGACATTTCGTTTTGTCCATAAGATTCATGGAGAATCATGCAACCCTGTGCTGGCCTCATTTAAGGACAAGGATGGGGAGGTGGATAAGCCATTGCTTGTCAGGCATATGATTGTGCTTTACCTACTGCAAAACAAGTTGCTATTTAAGCTGCTGCATCTTGAGACAATTTATAGTAACTGAGCAGACTAGAATGCCCCCAATCCATCAAGGATCAGATGCAAAGTTCTGTTTGGTTTTGCAAACTGCAGTTTGGGCAAGGGTAAATGACATGGCCAGAGGAACTGAGCAAAAGAAACCCAGATAATACATATGCAAGTAAGTTGGTTGATTTCATGTCACCAAAACTCTTATTGAAAGAGAATTTACAGCACAATCCAATACATATCTACTCCAAGGTCCGTCCCATGGCTGAGATCAATGGGGCTTACTCCCAGAGAGAGAACTGCAGCTGTAGTCTTGCATTTTTATGCACATATTAGTGAAAATAATATAGAAAAATGCTTTAAATTAGAGGAAACCAGCTTGCAAAAATGTATATACAGTGGTACCTCTGGTTACGTACTTAAATCGTTCCGGAGATCCGTTCTTAACCTGAAACTGTTCTTAACCTGAGGCACCACTTTAGCTAATGGGGCCTCCCACTACCGCCGTGCCACCGGAGCACGATTTCTGTTCTCACCCTGAAGCAAAGTTCTTAACCCGAGGTACTATTTCTGGGTTAGCGGAGTCTGTAACCTGAAGCGCATGTAACCTGAAGCGTATGTAACCCGAGGTGCCACTGTATTAGGCAAAATCATATACAAAAGTGTGTCTTATCAGGAGAAATCCATGACCAAATGCTGATCAATTACTTTGAGGACTTTTAAAAATCATAATCATTGCAAACTGATGTGGGAAAGTGGCAAACTGAACTGAAGACTGGAAAAACGAGTAACTAAGAGAAACCCATGTTGACAGATTTCCCCGTCCTTAATTGCAACCGTGAGCCCAGCCTCCTCACCTGCAGTTACATGTTCGGGTACAATTATAGCCACGGGGAGGCAGCTTTGTTATCAAACATACAGCAGCTTAATAACCCCCTGAGCATCGATGCTCTAATGCACATTTATTACCTGAACCTCCCTCTTTCCGCGTTAGCAAAGCCAAACAAGAAGGGAAAGGGAAATCAGGTAGGGTGTTATTAGAAGTTACTACAGCAACGGCTTGGCTTTGGGGACGGCCTCGCAGCGATTCCCCCCCCCCCCCATCCTCGAGGGAGCAGCTCTCTACGCTCAAAGCCCTGGAGCTGCTTTCTCCCGCTTCAGCCTGATGTTGTGCATTTAGGCCGAGGCGATTCGTCGCTGTGGGGAACCAGCGCTTTGCTGGATGGTGTTGAATTTCCTGGGTGGGAGGAGAGAAGAAGATTCCAGCTCGGAGAGAGTTGCGCCTCCAAATACAGGCTGCTTTAGATCTCTCTCTTTCTTTCTCTCTCGCACGCGCCCAGTTCCTAACCCCACGCCACAAAACATGCGCCCTGGGGACAGGTAAGGATTTGCTTTGTTTGGTAAAGAACTGAAACGTTGCACCGTGAAGCTCTGTGGCAAGAGAGTTGGAGGAGGGAAGGAGGGAGGGAAGAGGGGGAGGAGGAGGAATGCAGAGAGGTAGGACTAAGCAGCTCTGCTTTGTTCAAGCCACTGCTCGCCTTCTTTCCCTCTTGCATGTTCCCACCGCTCAGGAAAACAACAGCGGATGAAGTGGCTTGTTAAATTGCAAACACTCGCAGGAACCTCCAGACTGGAAACTTAAGGAGCTGAGCTGACCAAGCGAACTAAATCTACATAGTAGCTCCTCCCTCGCTGTCCACCCGGCTGCTCCTGCCTGCAGCCCGCCTAGGAAACTTTTCTCCAAAAGCCGATTCCTTGCAAACTTCACTGGAGAATCTGAAGCGGCTAAGGGGAGGACTTGGGGGCTGCGTGACAGGAAGGGGAGTTGGTTTACTGGGAAGGGAAGCAGGGGCGCTGAGTTGGGGCATGCTCGTTATAAAGTAGCCTGTCACCAAAAAAAAAAAAAAAAGGAGGGGAGGAAGAGGAGAAAAGGCATTGCTCCTTGTTCAGTTTTGAAACTGCCTGAGTAGAAATTGCTAGCCAAAATTTGCGGGGGGGGGGGGGGGAGAGGGAAGTTCGACATTCCGCGGCCAGCAGGGCCCTGTGCATCCTTCTCTTCGGAGGCATCCGGGGTTCTTAGCCCTTGGAAATCCAGGGGCAATTTTCCAGAGAGGTTGTCGGGGGTTGTCAAGAGAGGCATGTTACTAATGCCATTCTCTTCTATGGTGTGAGAGAAAAGGTAGGGGAAGGCAGAAACTCAGTGTTAGGGCATCTGCACTGCATGCAGAAAACCGAAGGTTCAATCTTTGCCATCTCCAGGAAGGGCAAAAAACGACCCTTGTCTGAAACCCACGCCAATCTGTGTAGACCAGTGTTTCCCAAACTTGGATCTCCAGCTGTTTTTGAATGACAATCCCCATCATCCCTGACCACGGGTCCTGCTAGCTAGGGAAGATGGGAGTTGTAGTCCAAAAAAATTGAGGTGAGACTCTTCGCTCTTAATCAGGGACGATGGGAGCCGTAACCCAACAACTTATGGGGAACTGAAGATTGAGAAACACTCATGTGGACAATACTGAGTGAGATGGACTGATAGTCTGACAGCATAAGGCAGCTTCCTGTAATTCTGTTTAAGCAGCTTCCTGTAATTCTGTTTAAGCACCACCAATGATGCTTTACAATGTGGCTTGCCGCCTTGCTTCTGACAGGGCCCCTGGGACTTCAGAAGCTGCAAGCAAATTTATTTGTCTATTAATATTTATTAGATTTATATACCACTCAAAAGATCTCAAGGTTGTTCACAACATAGAAATACAAGATAAAAGCACAAATAAATAGTTAAAACAGAAACAACAAAACAACAACCCCCTCCTCCCCACACACATTTAAAAGGCTTTAGAATGTTAATCAGCCAAGGGCCTGGTTGAAGATTACATCAACCTGTACATTTTGCCCCTTTCATTCATAGGCAAGTTAAACATGGTAAGGCGAGTGATAACAGCCCTGCAACATCAGTAGCTCTGCCCCAACAGGAGGTGACCTGAGAAAGCGCTCTCTGTGTGCGCAGGTAAACAGCAAGTGCTTGAGAAGTGCACTCCCAGCACAAAGCAGATTATAACCATTGCAGCAGAATGTGCTTCAGGTGGGCAAATAGTGTGGGACACTGGGACAGCATGGGGAGGACATTGTGTGTACAGCACCCCTAAAAGGCACATGCATCCGGCACGGAATGCACATTATTATGCAGGCTGTACATGCCCCAGGAGTCCTATGGCACCTAAAAGACCAACACATTTATTATGCCACTTCCTTTTGTTAACTACAGTCCACTTCATCAGATACATGAAGTGTTATCCTGAGGTTTTGGTATGGGGGGGTGGGGCAGGTAGAGGGAACTTGTTAAAAGTGAAGTCAGAGGGAAATGAAAAGCGGAAAAGTACAGAGAGTAATAATTCCATATTTAATAGTGGGACTTCACAAATAGTTATTGAGGGCACAGGCACCATGCTTTGTAAAGCAGTTAACATCTCTAATATGCTAAAATCCTTTGTCTCGGTTCAGCCCACAAGTGATAGCATCAAACCCTTTCATTCAATTCAGTGGTTTCATATTGCAGTCTCCCTTTGAATTTCCCTTGCTGCAGGATGGCTACTTTAAGGTAATTTACAGAGTATTCTGGTAGGTTGAACTGTCCCACCACTGGTTTTTGAATATTGCCACTTCAAATGTCAGACTGGTGTCCATTTAGTCTTTCATATTTAGACTGGCCTGTTTGTCCTGTGTAGAATGCAGAGCAGCTTTGCTGGCAGATGAGAACACATGTTATCACCTAGTTGTTCATTGTGATCCTTGTTTGCTCATACTGGAGCTGCAAACAAATACATACAAAGCCAAGAATGAATATTTAACCACTTGGAGCGTGCTGCTTAGCTATGGTATATTTGTGCTACTGTGAGGGAAACTTTGGAGTCCTGTTACCATCATGCCAGGACACACCTAGTAACACACCGTTGCACAACACAACTGTCTGTTGTGAATAAGCAAGGGGTCCAGATCTATCAGAACAGCATTTCTATACTGGAAAAATGGTATGTATCATTTTACAGCACTTTCCCCTAGAGGCTACTATCCTATGCACACATTCCTGGAAGTAAATCCCATTGAGCATAATAGAACTTTCTTTTGAATAAGCATGTCTAGGATTACATTGTAAGCGGTTTTGTAATTGTGGCAATTAAATGTTGAAAGCAAATTGTTATAATAAGAGTACCATATCAGATGTCCTCATTTTTTCAGTCCTCAGAGCTGAAAGCTCAGTGACTCTCGTGCATTTTCTATTTGAGTAGGAATCAACACAACTCAAATTATAGTTGTTTGAGTACATGAGTACAGGAATGTTTTTTATATGGAAGCTGGAACCCTCGCCTGTATTCTTGATAAGCCTATATTGAGAGCCAACTTTGAATTTAATAGCGAATGAATCAAACATTTCAGCTATAAACAGCAGTCACCTTGATTTGCTCACCTATTCATCTTGCTATTTTCTTCACTTATTTGAAATCTTAGTAGTTGTTTCTAATCTGTGGTTGTTTAACCATCTAGTATGGTAATAAGTAAAGTGATATAGAAACATAGAATTGTAGAGTTGGAGGGCACCATGAGGGTCATCTAGTTCAACCCCCAATGCAGGAATCTTTTGTCCAACATGGAGCTTGAATCCATGACCTTGAGATTCAGGGTCTCCTGCCCCACCGACTGAGTTCTCCCATGTGCCCGAGGACTGAGTAGAATAATATAAAAGGAAATCAGTTTTGCAGGCTACGCAGAAAAGGGCAGCCAAAATGATCAAGAGGATGGAGCAACTTTCCTATCAGGAAAGGTTGCCCCATTTTGGGACTTTTTAGTCTAGACCAGTGGTTCTCAACCTGTGGGTCCCCAGATGTTGTTGGACTACAACTCCCATCATCCCTAGGGAGTTGTAGTCCAACAACGTCTGGGGACCCACAGGTTGAGAACCACTGGTCTAGATGAAGGGCAGGGAAGAGGTGACATGATAGAAATCAATGGCATGGAGAAAGTGGATAGAGAAAAGGTCGTTTCCCCTTCTATCATAACGCAAGAACTCACAAACATCTAATGAATCAGAATGTTGGATAATTCGGGATGGATAAAAGGAAGAACTTATTTATGCGGAACATAGTTAAACTATCGAAGTCCCTCCGTCAGGAGGCAGTGATGGCGACCAACTAGAATGGCTTTAAAAGAGCATTAGACATAGACTACCAGTCGCTATCAGCCATGATGGCTGTGCTCTGTCTCCAGGGTCAGAAGCAGTAATGCTTCTGGATAGCTATTGCTGGGAACCGCAGGAGTGAAGAGGGTTCTTGTGTTCAGGTCCTGCTTGAGACATTCCCATGGGGATCTGTTTGGCCACTGAGAATAGGATGTGAACTAGATGGGCCATTAGCCAGATTCAGCAGGCTCTTCTTACATTCGTATATGTTTTGGGTCTGCTTCAAGTACACAAGTACAGCTCCCATTTTTTTCCAGCCTTAATTCATCTTGTATCCTTTTCATTGCCCAGCCTTTCGCTGCTAATATTTACTACCCACCACAACTGTCTGCACACCGTCATTATTGGACAGGTATGCCAGGCTCCACATTTCCTGTGAACTTTCCAAGCAGCAGCCATCTCTTGGGCAGCATGCTCGCCGGTCCGAGCATGGTCCCCGCCTTTAAATTCCAGTTGCGGCGAGACACGATCGACTGGAGGCGGTTCAGTGCCATCGATGTGGAGCGGGTCGCTCGTGAGCTGGACCTTGCCACTCTGCAGGAGAACATCAACAGCATCACCTTTTGCAACCTCGATGCAGAAAAGTGCCCCTACTGTCAGCAGCCAGTTGACCCTGTGCTCTTGAAAGTCTTCAAGATGGCCCAGCTGACCATCGAGTACCTGCTGCACTCTCAGGAGTACTTGAGCATGAGCCTGGCCCTTCAGGAAGAGCAACACCAAGCGACCCTGGAAGACCTCAAACGTGTCAAGCAGGACTGGGATAAGCAAGCAGAAGAGCTGAAGGGTGTCAAGGAAGAGAGCAGGAGGCGTAAAAAGATGATTGCCACGCAGCAATTGCTCTTGCAAGCTGGGGCCAATAACTACCACAAGGTGAGTGATATGGCTGCATGCTTTCTGTGCAGCTTTCATAATTGTAAGCAGGGCTAGCTGATATCTAGTATTCAACATTGTGGTATATCAGCAGCTAAATACCATGATACGTTGATATATCATGATGTCTGGAATGTAACTCGGATGCTTCTTCCTCCCATCACCCAGTCCTAACAACAACAACAATAACAACAACAACAATTTATTTATACCCCGCCCATCTGGCTGGGTTTCCCCAGCCACTCTGGGCAGCTCCCAACGGAATATTAAAAACACGATAAAACATCAAACATTAAAAACTTCCCTAAACAGGGAGACCTTCAGATGTCTTCTAAAAGTCAGATAGTTGTTTATTTCCTTGGCATCCAATGGGAGGCTGTTCCACAGGGCGGGCATCACTACCGAGAAGGCCCTCTGCCTGGTTCCCTGTAGCTTCACTTCTCTTAGTGAGGGAACCTCCAGAAGGCCCTCGGAGCTGGACCTCAGTGTCCTGGCTGAACGATGGGAGCAAGCCCCAATACCTCTGTGGCTTATGTTAGCCAGAAGGGCAGGGGCTTCATTAAACTGTTCAGCTGGGGGCAGGAAGCCTCCTGCCTCCAGCTGAACTAGCCCCCATACTGCTCTGGCTCATGTGAGCCGGAGAAGCGGGCTTCCTCAAAGGCACAGGCAGATGGAGGTGGAGAAAGTGCTTGCCCAGAACCATTTTGAGCTCTGTCTGCCTGTCTCTCTGTGCCTTTGCTGTCTGCAGGCAAATTGAGCTGGGAATACATTATGGCTCCCTGGCCAGCACAATGTATCACCCGCTCAAAATGTCTGAAACCGGTATTGCTATCAGAACGCCATACCAGTTTCATACAATTTACCAGTATATCACCCAGCCCTAGTTGTAAATAGGGACACACATGGGTACTTAGGACAGCCTTGCTCTCACAGTAAGGATCCATTGCCTCCCCGCCACATCCTAACTATAATGCCATGCTATAGGAAGTATTTGAGCATATGTGTATTATTGGGATAGACAGCTATTGGTGGGATGGAAGGGAAGCTAGTAGACTTTTCTGTGTGCATATATATATGCACATGGGCAGAACATGCCATGTGTCACACCAGCAGTGGCTGATTATAACAGTGGCACAGCCACCACTGCATCAGCAACCCTGCTGCTCATGCCAGCAAGGGTAGGTGGTGGGGCAAAAATGCACTTTTGCTATACCAGCTCCCAGACTAGGGCAGCAAATGGGCCCAGACTGGGCCAATTCCCGTCAGTTGACAGCAACAGGGCCACCTCTACCCCCTTCTCTTTCCCAGAATGTGCTCCTACATGAGGATGCACAGACTGCTCCCAGCAGGGATACTGCCGGTGCTAAAGGTAAAGGTAAAGGTACCCCTGCCCATACGGGCCAGTCGTGTCCGACTCTAGGGTTGTGCGCCCATCTCACTTAAGAGGCCGGGGGCCAGCGCTGTCCGGAGACACTTCCGGGTCACGTGGCCAGCGTGACAAAGCTCCTCTGGCGAGCCAGCACCAGCGCAGCACATGGAAACGCTGTTTACCTTCCAGCTATAAAGCGGTACCTTTTTATCTACTTGCACTTAAGGGTGCTTTCGAACTGCTAGGTGGGCAGGAGCTGGGACTGAAAGACGGGAGCTCACCCCGCCGCAGGGATTTGAACCGCCAACCATGCGATCGGCAAGTCCTAGGCACTGAGGTTTTACCCACAGTGCCACCTGCGTCCCTGCCGGTGGTAGCTTCCACCTATTTGCTGTTTGGGTGGGTGCATTGAGTGGAAAGTAGGAAAAGACCTTGAAGGTGGAGCTGAGCCCAAACTTCTCAGATGGCATTTCCCTGAGAAAAAAATGCCTGAGATGTTTCTTTTTGCCATCCCATCAGCCTGATTTAGTTTTACTTTTTTTTCCAGCAGAATTTTCTCCAGATATTCTCCTCCTTTTCGTTCTGGTGGCCACCCTTAGCCCCACAATGCTCCAGGATGATGTTAGATCCAGGGGACTGATGGAGATGTAAAATGGTGCCCATTCTGTCAATGCTGCTGCTGCTAACATTTGCAGTGGCAGCAAAAAGAGAAAGGGAAACTTTGTAGGTGGTGGGTGGAGATAAGGTACTGGAGATACTGGAGAAATTTGGTGAAATGAGCCTGCAAGTTTCTGTGCCCGCAAACACAGTGGAGGATTTGGAGAGATCGCCTGAGCACTGTTGTACCACAGGTCATCTCGTCCAACCCCTCTGTTCAGTGCAGGATTTACAATGCAGGATGCAACTACAGCATCCCTGACCGTTTCTGCTTAAATACCTTCTGTTTTCTGAGGACTGTCCTTGGTAAATAGGGACAGCTGGAGCATACGGAGCTGCATTATCCACTGTGGATTTTCAGTCAGCAGCCTGTCAAGGAAATGTGAATGATCTTTGTTTTTCTTCCAGCTCATCTGCCTGATTGTGGTTGCAGAAGCAAAGATAGATTAGCAAACATTGGGTGTGGAGGAGGTTACAGCTGTCTGGGTGTTAGTACTTCAGCAGCCATTCACAAACAGCCCATGATTCAGATTTAGTTTGAGCATCTGGTCCTGCATTAAGCTTGGAGTTGGCCTAGTGGAATGCTTTGTTCCTCCTCTGGATTTTTAGATCTATGTCAGGGGTCAGCAACCTTTTTCAGCCATGTCCACCGTCCCTCAGACCTTGTGGGGGGGGGGGCGGACTATATTTTGAAGGAAAAAAATGAACCAATTCCTATGTCCCACAAATAACCCAGAGATGCATTTTAAATAAAAGGACACATTCTACTCATGTAAAAACATGCTGATTCCTGGACCGTCCGTGGGCCGGTTTGAGAAGGCGATTGGGCCACATCTGGCCCCCAGGCCTTAGGTTGCCTAACCCTCGTCTATGTGATAGCTGTCAAGGTTGTAAAGAAGGACACTCATGGACACATAGGCCAAACTCACACCATGCTTTTAAAGCACCATGATACGACTTTAAACAGTCATGGCTTCCCCCAAAGAATTCTGAGAGCTGTTGCTTGTTAAGGTGCTGAGAGTTATTGGGGAACCCCTATTTCACCTCCATGGTTTTCTGTTTCTCGGGGTGATTTTACAGTCAATCCCTCTTCCCAAGGCTCTCTGGGAATTGTGTGGGGAATATGGATCTCCTAACAACTCTCAGCACCCCTAGTAAACCACAGCATCTTGAATTCTTTGGGAAGCCATGAATGTTTAAAGTGGTGTCATAGTGCTTTCAATGTGTGCTTTGAATGTGGTCCTGGTTTGTTTGGCTTAGCATGTGGTCTAAATCCAGAATCGTGATTCAGCTTTCTTCTCCTTGACCTATTGCCAAAGTTTGTCCTGCAGTTGCATGGTTGTGAAGGAGGCATCTTCACCCTGATCCCTGGTCTGAGTGACAGGCTAAGCAAAACTCTGGCTTAGGTGTCCTCCCAGGCTAACTTGAAAGCCTGGGGGAGAGGGAGAGCAGTGTGAGTTCCTAGCTGGGAGCCAACACATTCATGCGGACATGATGAGCCACCTTCTGGCTTACCTTGATGTGTCAACCAAGCCAGCGTGTGACCTATCTATCCTTTTCTTTGTCTTTCTCCAGTGCCAATTCTGTGACAAGACCTTCATGAACTACTCGTTTCTTCAAGCCCACATGCTGCGCAGACACCCAGAGGTCACTGCAGCAGGTGAGCATAGAGGGTTATTTCATTATGTACTGCTTCGTATTTCAAGACTAATAATAATTGCTAATTGGTTTACAGTGTCTTAAAAATATCACAAATACAAAAAGAAACCAGCAATACCCCCCCTTTTTAGCAGCACAGAAGAAAAGAATTATATATGTCTTAAAACATCAGTATAAACAAGCATTAACATATGGGGACCATAATAACTAATAGCAGATCCGAAATACAGAGGGCATTGTTATTCGGTGTGCTTGTTCCTTCAGCACAAGGACTTTCAGCTGTGCAGTGGAACTTCCCCTCCCCCTCCCCACAGGACAGCCTGTGTGCCCTCTAAATCTGTTCTGGGAGTTCCCCAATGCTCCAGAGCACATTTGGGGAATGTGCAGAGCACACACATGAAGAGAATGTCATAGAAAATCTACGCAATATTGATCCAGAGCAGAATTCCAACATATAGCTAGCAGAGTGAAAACTTAAACACATTGCAGGATTCTCCAAAAATAAACCAGAGGCAATTAATAGTTCATGCAGCAGAGCTTTACTGCTACTGAAGACAAATGAGCATAACGGTTCCAAATCCAATACATTCAGGATTGGCACCATCCATAAGAAATCCAGTTGCAGCAGACTTAACTTAAACTTACAATAACTTCTACAGTCATAACTCATGTTGCGTCGTTTCGGCTTGCGAACACAGCAAACCCGGAAGTGTATACTTCCAGGTTTCACCGTTCATGTGTGCGCAGAAGCATTTTGCGTGCTTCACACATGCACAGAAGCGCTCAATCATGCTCCGCGCTTGCGCAGAAGCGCCGCTCTAGTTGCTGACTTTTTGGGGTGTGAACGGCACCCCGGAACAGATCGTGTCCACAACTAGAGGTACCACTGTAATAAGTCTAAACCTTAATACTATATACAGAACACCACACCAGAAGAAAGAGAGATAGAAAGAGAAAGTGAAATCCAGGCTGGTTCTGGCCTTATTTTTATAGTCATCATGACCTTGGCAGAAGAGATAACAGAACCAATTTAAGCCAGCTGTTCTCAGTTTCTTTGAAGGCAGTGCTTTTTTTCTTTAAATGTTTAGGGGTACTCTCATTTTCCTACTCATATTGAAATACTGCCCCTCAATGAGGCCAAACTTAGATTCACAAAACGTTTAAGGGTATTCGTATCCCTGCCCCCCCCCGAAAAAAGCACCGTCTGAAGGAATAACCCAAACATCATGAACCTTCTGCTTGTTTCTTTCACACAGAGAAGCTTCCAGAGACCACTTGAATTAATTAGAATAGGAAAGATCGCTACCCATCAGATCAATAGTTTCTGTACTAAGAAATGCAAACTGACAGAGAAGGGGGGAAAAGTTGTGTTGCACAAACAGAAATCTTTGCACTGATGAAACAAGTGCATTTTACTTCATATTTTTCCCCATTCTCTTTTCCTTGTCCTTGTTAAATTTAATAACTAATTAACTAACTAACACATAGAGACCCTTTGTTTTCCAGATTGCCTAGAGCAGGGGTAGTGAATGCAGTGCCCCTGCCCAAATTTATTTTGCTGGGCTCAAACACACATCAGCTCCATTTAGCATGGCCAGTAGTCAAGGGTGATGGATGTTACAGTTCATTTGCAGGACAGCACAGTTACTGCCCCTGATCTGAAGTGTTATTTGAGACCATCAGGGGCCCATTGGATCAATCAAACTGTAAAAACATTTCATTTTTGAGTGCCTCTCTCCATATACAGGTTGATACCCAGTAGTTTGTTACTAATTAAGCATTCAGGCATTTTCTTTCCCTTAACTCATGGGTAGAAAATCTGGAGAGATTTCCTTTTACATTAAAAGTTCATTATAATGAAACAAACTGTTTAGCTTGCCCATTATCTACAAATAAGGGGCTCAGTAGCTATCATTTTTTTTCTGAATGATTTCACATATAAACTGATTCTGAGCCATACTGGCAACATCAGAAATTAATGTACTTACATCCAGCATTTTGGAAAATGTTAAGATGTCATTCTGCAAATCTGGATACAATCATGCAACTATAACTGCCCCACCTCAGAAGGGTATACTTCATACTCACATAATTATAAGGTTAGCCATAAAGCATATAGATTAAAACATGACAAATACATTTTGTTCAAATTGATTTACCTCACCAAATAATATGCATGAGATTCTCTGAGGTATAGCTTTGGATTTATGACTGGGAACAAAATTCTTCTAGGAAGCCTAAGAAAACTGCAAAATATACCACACACATACTATTGAGGTGGCAAAGGAAGTTCACAAAATGAGAGGAAAACAAAATCCACAAACCTAGAGGAAATTCAGCTCTGGGCATGGTTTTGTCCAGCAGAGGGCAGTGGTTCCGTTATAATTTATGATGACAATCCATTATAGAGCTAGCTGTCTGGTGTGCTTTGAAATCAACGGGCCTAAACACATTTACTACTGGATTGAAATGTGGTCCATGTTAATTCACTTGTGTCAAATATTATTTTCCTGACATACAAAGCAATGTTTTAAGTAAAAAATAAATGAAAAATAGAGTTTCAGACTGGGAAAACCAAGCCAGATGGGCGGAGTATTATATATTATTATTATTACTAATAATACTACTATTATTATCATTACCATCATCATAAGTGCTTTTTCTGGGGAATGCGGGAGTATGCATACTCCTAATCATTTTGTGAATCTAAGGTTGGCCTCATTAAGGGGCAGTATTTCAATATGGGTAGGAAAATGAGAGTACCCCTAAACATTTTTTTTCAAAAAACCACTGATCATCATCATCATCATCATCATCTTACATTCCTGGGTACCTTCCTATACACAATTCAAAATGTTTGCAATTGCCACCATAACTGTGCCTTTTTCTGAATGAACTTTATAGAGCAGGAGAAGAAGAAACAAGTGGTACAAATGGAAAGTGAGATTGAAGAACTGAAGGTCAAACTGAAGGAGACCCATGCCCAACTGGAGGCTGAGAGCCAAAGCAGGGCTCAGGTATGAACTCACAAAAGCCAAAGCCCTCATAGCTTGCTGAATTACAACCATCTGTTTGTAGCCAAAGTGAAAGCAGTGCATGCAAAACTCTTGATAATGTACTTTTGCACCACGGCAGCTGGAAGGGAAGAGGCTTGTTGTTTATTTGTTTGTTTGTTATATTTGAGTCCCATTTTTGCATTTTGAAAGTAGTGACTCAAAGTGATTTACACAGTAAAAAGTAAAATAACAAAGACATTCAAATCAGATTAAAAACAGCAATGAACAAAACCTTTTTTTAAAAAAAAAATACCCATCTGACAAAATTTCTTCTGCTCCAGTAAAAATAAATCCAAAGGTGAGTTGCCTCCATTGCAGAAACATGCACGCTATGAAGGTGTGAGGGGACCCTTCAGGCAAACATTTGCAGGCACATGGAAGTCCTTCAGAACAATACCAGTCATCTCAGATAATCTCTTGGCCTGGGTATCTGCTGTTCAGCGGTGTGGCCAATAAACCAGTGGAAAGGAATTCCTTGTGAGCCTCACGTATATCAGGTAATGGCTGTAGCTCAATGGCAGAGCATCTCCCTTGCAAGCAGAAGACCCCAATCCCTTCTAGATCTGTCAGCAGCCTTCGACATGGTTGATCACGAACTCCTGGACCACCGCCTTGCCGACGTGGGGATCCAGGGCACAGTCCTTCAATGGCTGCGCTCGTTTCTCTCCGGTCGGGGACAGAGGGTGGCGCTTGGGGGAATTGTCATCCCGCCACTCCTTGGTGTGTGGAGTGCCTCAGGGTGCGATACTCTCCCCAATGCTTTTAACATCTTTATGCGCCCCTCGCCCAGCTTGTCCGGAGTTTTGGGCTGGGTTGCCATCAGTATGCCGATGACACCCAACTCTATCTGTTGATGGATGGCCATCCTGACTCGGCCCCAGACACACTGACCAGATGTTTGGAAGCTGTGGCTGGATGGTTACGCGGAAGCCGGTTGAAGTTAAATCCTTCGAAGACAGAGGTCCTCTGGCTGGGACGGGACGATATGGGATTGAGGGGCAACTCCCATCTCTTGCGGGGGGTGCAATTAGTGCCAGCACCATCCGTTAAGAGTTTGGGTGTAATCTTCGATACCTCCCTCTCTATGGAGGCGCAGATTACAGCTATAACAAAGGCGGCATTTTTTCATCTCCGCCAAGCTAAGCAGTTGGCCCCTTATCTCTCTCGCCCTGACCTAGCCACTGTGATCCACGCGACGGTCACCTCCAGACTGGATTATTGTAACTCGCTCTACGTGGGGCTGCCCTTGAGACTGACCCAGAAACTCCAGCGGGTGCAGAATGCCGCGGCGAGACTCCTTATGGGGTCTTCGCTGCGAGATCACATTCATCCGGTACTATACCAGCTGCACTGGCTCCCGGTGGAGTACAGGATCAGGTTTAAGGTGCTGGTTTTAACCTTTAAAGCCCTATACGGCCTAGGACCCTCGTACCTACGGGACCGCCTCTCCTGGTATGCCCCACAGAGGAACCTACGGTCTGCAAATAAAAACATCCTGAAGGTCCCAGGCCTCAGAGAGGTTAGGCTGGCCTCAACTAGAGCCAGGGCTTTCTCGGCTGCGGCTCCAATCTGGTGGAACGCTCTGTCACAAGAGACTAGGGCCCTGCGGGACCTGACATCTTTCCGCAAGGCCTGCAAGACAGAGTTGTTCCACCAGGCTTTTGGTCAGGGCCCAGCCTGACTCCCACCTCCGGCAACCTGCACAGAACTTTGCTCAACGGTTGCCATTAATTTGATTTTAATTAATTTTTATAATGAAATGTTTTAGAATGTTGGATTATTTAATTGTTTGATTATTTATTTGTTGTTAGCCACCCTGAGCCTGGCTTTGGCTGGGGAGGGCGGGATATAAATAAAATTTATTATTATTATTATTATTATCCCTAGTGTCCAATCCCTAGTGTCTCCAGGTGGGGAAATCTTCTACCTGAAACCATGACCAGTCAGAGTCTATTGAGCTAGATGGACCATCTGCCTCAGTATAAGATAGCTTCCTATGTTCCTGTGTGCAACAGTCATACACCTTGAACTCAGCTTTGACTAGACATAATAAGATTGTACTTTTAATATATTTGATAGGGCAACTTGTCTGCACAGGTCATTGCCACTCCATTCATCCCCCTCCCACTGTTGCATGCTATTGGTTGTTGCCATGTTGAATATCCAGCTTAAATTAGCTGGGCAAGAATTGGACCATCCTGCCCTTTGCTTGGAGTATTTCCACTTCCGTTTGAATGACTGGGATTTCTGGAAACTGCTGTCAAATCATTCCATAGCCACAACTTTTTGTCTTTTCTAACCAGCTTATTTCCAGCTTTAGATCTTGTTGTTTCGTTGATAGGAAGCAGAGCACATGAGGCAAAGAGAAGAGGAAAGCAGAAGAAAATTTGAGAGATGGAAGGAGGAAGAGAGGGTAAAGTTTCAAAGGGAGATGGAAGACCTCCGGCACCTGTTCCTCACCGAATTCAAGGACATTGCCAGCAAAAATTCCGCCTTGGAGGGGGTAAGGCGAATGCACAACTTTCTCTTTTCCTTGAACATTCAGGGCAGTCACAGCCTTCAATAAACAGGCATGCTGCTTTTAAATATTACCACAAAAGAACAGCAGGGCCTTTTCTTCAAGGAATGATAAAATTCCCTATGTTAGAGAAGGATGAATCACTTTGTTTGAGCATGGATGGACCTTGGTAATATGGTGCGCTGTGTGTCGCCAAAATTTCCATCCTTCTCTGGAGATTGTTCAATAGAATGCGCTTTTCTGGTTATAAATAGCCTGGATAATTTTGCAAGGTCTTGTTCACTTACCGTATTTTTTGCTCTATAAGACTCACTTTTTCCCTCCTAAAAAGTAAGGGGAAATGTGTGTGCGTCTTATGGGGCGAATGCAGGCTGCACAGCTATCACAGAAGCCAGAACAGCAAGAGGTATTGCTGTTTTCACTGCGCAGCGATCCCTCTTGCTGTTCTGGCTTCTGAGATTCAGAATATTTTTTTTCTTGTTTTTCTCCTCCAAAAACTAGGTGCGTCTTGTGGTCTGGTGCGTCTTATAGAGCGAAAAATACGGTAGCTGAATTTCCAGCACCATTGACAAGTGCAGAAAGTGGAGAGCCATGTGATTGGTTATGATCCTGTTTGTGGGGAATATCCACACTAGCTAGTCATCCTTGCCCAATCAAGATAATAAAACACAGAGCAAGAAGCTGGTGTTCCTCCCAACGGGTATTCATACCTACATAGGGAAGTCCCAACTTACATGACAACTCTGCTTTTTATATTCCATCAGATATGGCACAGAAACCTGACCTACTGTACCTGAGTGATTCCTTAATAGCTCTGGCTGCTGCTCTTTGCCAGCAAAGTGTTTACATGTGCCACTTATTCCTCCTCCAGAAGCTGCAGGAACTACAAGGCAAGAGTGCAGTGGTCTCTAATCTGGGGACATTGCAGGATGACGAATCACCTGACCAGCAGCAATGGAAGAAGACTCAGAGGGAACTACAGGGGATGAAGGCAAAAATTGAGCAACAGGTGCGTGAGCATAGATGTGGTGGCTGTGAGCTCTGCAATATATCATCTCTTGCTTGTAGAATATAACAGGGTAGGAGAAAGACACTTAAGAGTACAATCTTATTTTTGCAGTCCATTACATTCTAAGCCCCACCCCCCACCCCAGGAGCCAAACCATAAAACCTAAGCTATATAGCTATTGTGGGGAGTGGGAAATGATGACAGCAGATAGATTGTTGTGGAGTCACTTATGCTGATGTCCCTTGTGCTCTGACAGTAATACAACATGGTTTAACAATAGGAGGCAAAACATTTCAAAAGAAGACATTGGTAGGTGAAGTCAAATATAAAAGCACATTTAAAACAGCATAATTAAGAAGAAAATAAAATATCATCATAAGCATGACACGGCTGTTTGGTAGGCACACAAAGATGGGGCCATTGAGTGGCCTTCATGCCCCACAGCTGGGTGATGGTCCTCCAGCCTCATGAGGAGCCTCTTCAGTAGGGCTGGGTGAGTCTGGGGCCCGCTCCCTAGGCCAGGTAGAAAGGTCCTTGTGGGGAGCGGCCTTCATGCCCCACAGCCGGGTGATGTTCCTCCGGCTTCATGAGGAGCCTCTTTAGTAGGGCTGGGTGAGTCCAAATAAGTTTGGCTAAGACTGAGGTTGTTGTTTTTAATTTATCAGAAAACAGAATGGAAATGGAAACTGAGGGATCTTCAGAAGGAACACCAGATGGAGAAGGAAGAGGTGAGTGTGCTGAAGAATATATTTTTCTCACAGTTTCTCTCTCATTAAGAGTTCAAACATTGTACTGGTGTACAGTCAGTGCCCAAATAGGGAACACCTGTGTACACAAACAGAGATTATGCATATACAATGCAACAAACTATTACATGCCTAGACTCTGTGTATACATTGTGCTGGATGCTTTTGGGGAGGGCAGAGCCTGCACACACAATCCCACTACCTTCATGCAGTGGGTCCTCATGCCCAAATCTCTAAACAGTTTGTTCTTATCTCCTCAGCTGAAGGGTGAGAATGAGAGACTACGGGCCTCCTTGTCTTCTGACCAATGGAAAATGGCCGAGCACAGCAAGCAGCAAATAGCATCACTCAGCGCACAACTCAGGGAACAGGTCAAGATCATCCAGTCACAGGAGAAAACAGTAAGTTGAATATGGTCTCCTGCCTTCAGTCCTGTAAGAAGCACTCTGTTCACCTCTTGGGGCTCAGGTTCAACAAGAGTTTTGAGTCCTGTTTTGAAGCAGATTGTTGCTTCTGCTCTAAGACTCAAACTGCACAATAAGCAGAATTACATGCTGCCGCTCTTGCCAAATAACAGGTGGCAATCTGCATGTTTGAATGTTCCCCTGATATTAAACTCCCTTGTTCTACACTGTGATTCTTCTATTCAAGTACTTTTGATGAAGAGAACCTTTCATATGATAGTATGGCTTATACCAGAGGACCACTTTGAATGAGAACCTGGTAGAGGGATGGGGAAGCTGTGCCCCTCCAAAAGCTGTTAGTCTCTAACTCCCATCCAGCCCAGCATGACCAATGGTTCCCCATCTCTACCCTGCCTAAAGAATACACTGCATCTTTGGGGCTCCTTTTTCAGTTGTTTTGCTTTTTTCCTGATTATGTGGACACTCACAGTAAGTAAGCAGTTCCTAAATCTTGTAAATAAAACTGATCTTTTAATAACATATTTTGTTTTGCAGATTAAGCTCTTGTCTTCTAGCAAACCTAAAGGTAATGGTCAAAATCTAGACTGAATGCATTTCCATAGTTAACACTAGAAGCTTCTTTTCTCTTTTGACAAACTGTATAAAACTGGGCAGGTTTAGGCAGGCAGATAAGGAAACTCTGTAATAGCCATATCTATTGATTCAAAAGCTCACAGTGAAGTTAATTATCCAGCTCTTTTTCTAAGGTCATTCTGAACATTTCACCTCTGATTTTGGTGTCCGTGGGAATTAAAATTGGAACTGAGGCCCAGAAGCAAAGGAAGCCCCAATTGATTCCGTAGTTATTTGCTGTTATAGATAGTGACAACCACAGATTGCTTTCTGGAAACTAAGATTTCTTGCAGCCCCAGTACAAACTGCACATCAAGGATTAGTGATTAATAGTGGCTCTAAGGTTGCAGTCTACTTGCAGAGTTAAAAGAAGAATTTTTCTTAGAGCACAACTGTGAGGGAGAGTTACTACAGTCAATTTTCCCCCATTATGCTGCTAAGAGGACCAAAGTCTTTGTCTCTAGCGATTTAGCAGACAATAAGAATTCTTATTTTTGGAATGAGAGCAACCTCTCTTTTCTTCTGCTTGTTGGAAGAGTCCAGTATACTGTCACTGAGTGACAGATACTGCAGTCAAATTAATCACTGAATTGTAGAGCCACAAAGGAAGAGTGAACAATAATTGCAGTTATTGTTGTTGATTCAGTGTGCATGATATCTGACAGAGTACAAGAGGTCAGGTTCATGCCCTGAGGAGCTTCCAGTCTAAACTTTGATACAGAGGAGGAGAGGGGAGGGAGACAGATGTTAACAGAAAGAATACACTTTTTTCATTTACACATTCTTAGAACTGGTAACATGTAGTTGCTGTAGAACTTGAGAACGTGTTCAAGTATTGTACACTTGCATCAGGTCTTTAAATCAGTTGATAGGCCTGGAGAAGGAAGGATTGATAATCACATTTAAACCTACCCCAGTTCATAATTGAATTGGTTAAAATTAATGGGACTTAACTGAAGTATGAGAAGATTCTGGAATGATCATTAAGTTGCCTGGAACTCAGCGTTGAAGGGTTTTCCTTTGTGCTGAAATATGCAGTCCAACAGTAGCAGAAAATCTGATTTATTACTGCAAATAATAAAATTACTCTCAAAATTCTAACCCTCTAACCAAAATATGCAATCCAGTGCTTTCATCAAAGCTATTCCATGCTCATCCAGCAACTTTTCAGTGATTTCATGCCTAGAGGTTTTTTGAAATGTTTAATGTGCTCCATAACAACTGAGTGGTTTTTATCATCCTAAAGACTATAAATACAATTTAGATCATATATGTACTCACACAAATTCACATGTACAAAAAACCCAGTGTGTTTTGTATACTTCAGCACTGCAAGCATACAGTACATTTAAGCACTTGTGCGATCTTGAGATGTGAAATAGGCATGCACAGAAACTAATCTGAGGGATTCTGGCTGATCCTCGAGAGCTCCAGAAGAGCGTTTTGCTCCCAAGTTCCATACAGACAAACTACAAATCAATTTTTTTCTGGGATAAATGAAACTGTACAGCTTAAGTTCCATGCTAATGTGTAAGAACTGCGAGTTCCACCAACTGGAATTTGAATAATGTGCCTTTTCCTATGTTACTGTTTTTAATCTCCAGAAATAACTGTTCCTAAGGCAGAAACATCAGAAGAATCTACTGAAGAAGGTATTTTTCACCAATTTCAGTTGCTCTTCTCCGATTTTCAGCTAGATACTGTTGTTGTCCAAAGTCCAACCTGACCAGAGGACTTTTATAGATCTACAGAAGCCAATGACTGGCCCATTACCTCTGGAACCCAAGACACCCCTTTGCAAAGGGAACAACCTCCCCCCACCCCGTAGCCCAGCCCACCCTAACTAATTACACAGGACTGCACTTCACTGATGGATAGTTTCTTAACTTTAGTTTGCCATCTCCAGATAAGCATCATATTACTGATTATAATAATTATTAATTGGATTCTGTCAAGCTGCCATAGGATGCAGGTGTGTTTTAGGCCTATTTTATATATTTAGAACTCTATCCCCCCCCCTTTCAAATACCAAAAGAATAAAGTATTGCAAGCTCTCATTCAGCGGCAGAATACAGGTGTACCTTGGATCCTGAACGCCTTGCGAGTCAAACGTTTTGGCTCCCAAACGCCGCAAACCCAGAAGTGAGTGTTCTGATTTGCAAACATTCTTTGGAACCCCAACGTCCAACATGGCTTCCGCAGCTTCCGATTGGCTGCAGGAGCTTCCTGCAACCAATCAGAAGTCCCACCTTGGTTTCCGAATGTTCTGGAAGTCAAACGGACTTCCGGAATGGATTCCGTTCAACATCTGAGGTACGACTGTAATTAGAAGTTGATAATTTAGGCAGTATTGCAAAGAGTAATGCTGGTCCCAATGTTATTGGCTGTGCTCACAAAATTATTTCATATTTCTGATCACCCGAAACAAAAGTTTAAGTGTCAGCGTTATGCTGGGATATGAAAATAACGGCAGCATACTAAGGTGCCAGAATCTTTTAAGCCATTCTGATGATCACTCTGAACAGTTTTCCTCTCTGTCAAGGTGTGTGGAGAAGTTCCTCTCCATTCAGCAAAGCACCGTGATGCTGCCCACTGGTTCCCCTTCCCAAAGAAAGATTGTTTGGGGACCAGAGCTAACCCACGGGATGGTGATTTGCCACCATTTCTTAAGACTTTTTCTGGTTCTTGCCATTGGTTTCACTACAGAACTGGAAGATACTCTGGACAGAAAGAAGAGGGTTCTAGAAGCACTGAGGAGGAATCCAGACTTGCTGAAACAGTTCCGGCCGATTCTGGAAGAGACACTTGAAGAGAAACTGGAGAGCATGGGAGTGAAGCGGGTAAGTGCCATGAGAGAGGGAAAGTAGATACAGAGAGCTTTTGCCCTTGTAGTCAATTGCCCAACGTTGAATTCCTTTTCCATATTCAACTGAGGATTGCAATGCCTAATATGTTTGAGAATTTAGAGTCAAGTCTCATTACAAGTTCCTGCAACACAGCCTCAGCATGTCTGGACATTCATACCTGGTTAGGAAAATAGACACCCTGATGCTCCTCAACACTAGGAATCTTCATCTGAGGAAAATGGCTTGCAGAAGGGACCATATCAGGGGAAGCTAACACTGTGTTCCTTTTCATAATCAACTTATTAATGGAAATTCTGTAAATTTCCCATCTTGGGTCCAAAAAATACTTTCCCACAGTTCACCAGCAGTTATTTTTATGACAGCACCGCAATGTGTTTGCCTGTCAGGACTCACTCCAGGTTTGAGGGAGGCCTAGGCCTCTGTGTCCTCTGGTCGGCCCGTTTCTCTATTAGCAGATCTTGGCAAGCTTATCTGGCAATAGGGATGGAAGGATCTATGAATTTCAGTTCTCTAAGACTGGAAAAAATGAGAATTTACAAATTGCTCTAGAAATGCGGCTAACAAAAATAAAGAAAGAAAAACTCTCATGAAGATACTTCAGCTTTTTAGAATGCATTTTCCCCAGCAAACACGTTAATGTAGTTTTGACAAATGAACACATTTTTTGCAGGCAATTTATCCTAATATAGTGCATTATTTTCACTAATATAGTCATTTTAATGCACCCTTTAACCTAATACATGCATTTTTGTAAACATTGGCTGGAGCAACTACATTTCAAATTCAGAAAAGTGCAATTTTCAAAAGATGTTTGTAAGGTGTGAATTTGATAGAGTGCAAACTTAATGGAATTTCTCCTCCATCCCTACCCAATAGCTGGTAAACTAAAGATGGAAAATCTGTGATCCTGCAGATGTTGTTGAACTCTAACTCCCATTAATCCCAACTACTGGCCAGGTTGCCTGGCAGTGCTGGTGAGATTTAGAGTCCAACAACGCCTGGAGGGTTCTCCACCCCTCTGTCAAAACATATTTGTTCTATGTGTCAGTTATGAATAAAAAGGGCTGTGGTCTACAGAATTACACAGTGATGCAATCTGCATTACTCCTAATTGTTTTTCTTACAGGGTTCAAAAGGTATCCCTGCTCAAACCTATAAACATTTGAGAGACGTGATAAAAACCCAACAACAGCAGAAGGCCAAAAAATTTCCACAGCTCCTCGCCTTAAGAGACAAAATTGAGCAAGAAGTGAAAAGGAAAGTCAGAAGGGGTCAGAAGGATGAAAGCGATCTCTCGCTGCCACTCTTGGGAACCTCAGGTAAGAGGCTCTGTGACAGCCTTTGTCAACCTGAAGCCCTATCAGCCCAAAATCATAGTCAAAACATCTGGAAGGCAACGTTGCTTAAAGTTTCCCTATGATATTATTAATTTAGGATAGTGATTTTCAGCACATTGCTTTTATTTTATTTGGGGTGTGTGTATTATTTACCTGGATCAGGTACTGGCCAATTTGTTTTCCTTCAGATGTTTCCAATCATCTCTTTCAGGTAAAAGCCAAAGGAGCTCACAGTCTCCGATCCAGGTTGTGTCTTCTAAGCCCAGAATGCAACAAGTTGAATTCAAGCCTTATGCCTCAGAGATGCCCAAACCAGCCCCTCGGAGCAAAGTGAACTCCAAGGCCAGTTCAGTGGAGACCCCCAGGATGCCTTCTCCAAAGCAAGTGAGGAGCAGCACACCATCTCTTCAATACTCTGCTGCCCATCATCCCAGGTGGGTTAAAGTTCTGGGTTAAACTTCCATTTCCCTGTTTTTATGCTGTATTGTCTTGGTTATTGTGTATGAAAACTGATGATGTAATTTGAAGTGTTGTCATTATGTTTTAGGCATTTTACAAACATTTTTGCAAGCTTTTAATTTCATGACAAAAAGTGCGGCTTAACTTTTAATCTTAATTTTGCGTGTGAGAGTGTTGCTCCTTGTCCTAAAACAGCTATTTCCAGCAGACCTTGTTCATTGGCTAAGATTTGCAAAATACCCTGGGAATCTCTCAAAAGTGTCTTAGTTGGATGTTGCTCCAAAACTCTGTTGGCAGAGTTGGGGATTTTCATTTCTTACCCATGTCAGTTTCACATGTGTTTGTTCATAGATCTGTCCTGTCCTGTCTCGATTCTGCATTAATCTGTAGTGTAGATGTTTTTTAAAAAAATAAATTTATATTTTAAATTCATGTATAAATATGTACGTCAGTATGTATTTTTATCACAAAATATACATTTTTCCTCAATGTGTGCTTTTCTAACCTTATTTCATCCTAGAATACATACATACTCTTACACACATTTTGGTGAAGTTGTGTGTGTGTGTCCGTGTGTGCATTGAGCTGAGAAATGCATCCCAAAATTTGGAGAAGTCCAGAATTACATTCTGATAAATATATTAGCCTGGAAGTGTACTGAAGGAGATCAGTACGCTTAAAAATGCACCAAATGAAATTCTCCTCCATCCTTTGTTTCTGTTTCCCACTCTGCTCTGTTTCCATTCTCCAGCACTTCGCCTTTCAGCTCTGAAGAAGAGTCTGAAGAGGAATCAAACTTTACATCTCCAAAGTTTACACCCTGCAAGACAGAACCAGACCCTCCCAGAGCAGTGCAGAATGAAGAGAGTGACTGGGATTCATCTGACATAGAATTGTCGGAGGGGAAAGGCAGTATGGGAAGGGTCCTTGCAACAACAGCAGAGACTCGTTCAGGTGTGCGTGCGTGCATGTTTTAATATATATTAATGCACATCTTAATATGCATTGAACTGTGTATTTTAATGCTTATTTAAATGCATATGTTCTCTGAAAATGTGCACTTAAATCCATATTTGGTGCTTTTCAACTACCAGGATTTTGTTGCAGTATTGAAAGAAGTGCAAAATGTGTTGGCTATGTCGTTTTGATATGCAGTTTGATCTGATAAGTGCAGATCAGGACATTTCATACAAGAATTTGTGAGGCTCAAATTCTTCAGGCTTCTCTAGTTATAATGCAACAGGGTAGGCTAGAAAGCTCTTACCTATGTAGTTGTTCCACATGGCTGGCATCGCATTTAAAAACGTTTTCCATGTGCTGCAGCCCATTCAAGGGCAGTATTTGTATGCCAACAATCTGTGACCTGAGAGGATGCACAACTGCTGTGCTATCACTGTGCACGAATGCTCTTGTTACGCAGTGGCAAGGGTTCGTGTGCTAGATACTTATTACCATAGGTTTTCCCGGACCAGCTCTCCAGTCAGACATACGTCAGCTCATTTCTTAGTTTTGTCATTCTGACAGCTTTCATTAGAATTATATGGTTTCTTAGGTCAGCCATAAGCTCCTAAGAAGCCATTTATTATTATGAACAACTTTGCTGTTTAAATCTGATGTCTAGACTCGGATCCTAACTCTTAATATGTATATGACTTGTAGGTGTTTTGTTTGAATTTGTTAATGGTGTACTGTATTTGGGTGGAATCCAGCACAGCACTAAGGTAACTATTCCACCATCCCAGGGAGTTTTGCTTACTCATCAGAACATCATCTCCTTCTCTTTCTTTGCACCCACTAAATCTGTTTTCAGGGTTTCCCCTGGAATAGATTTGGGGAAGGTGCAGGACACATGCAAGGGAAGAGAGGGGGATACTCCCATTACACAAGTGAAAATTCTTGCAGTGCTGGGACTTGTTAGTATAATACCACCCTTTATGTTTTAGATGTGTTGCAAGTCACTTGGAGACCTCTGAGTAATGCACAACTTGAGTAATGAATGACTAGCAAGTTTAATGAATAACAACAATTCTTTGCTTCTTGTAGAAACAGTGGTGCAGTCAATGGCTAAAAATCTGGAGAGGACACTGAGTGCATCTGGGAAAAAGCCTGCTGGTGGAGTTAAACTCTTTCCCATCCCTACCAAAGAAGCTCCTAAACCTGGCCCAACTACTAAAAAAATCCAGGTACTATACAATACACATTAATTTAGGAAATCAGACAGATGGTATCTGCCTGCTGAATTCTAACCCATAAGAAACATCATTCCAGTTTTTGCTCTGGACTATTCATTCAGCATGATGAAGAATTATGGAAAGCTTGCTCACCCTTACTTGATTTTATGCTTGATGACCTAATAAAAATATTGTCCTACTGTGGATTTTGGATTTCAACACCCCCCCCCCCTTTTGGGCCAACACAGCCTTTGCTTTTCATTCATCAGTTCTTCCCCAATAACATTATACTATGCATATTTATTCAAACATAAATGCTGCAGGGTTGCTCATGAGCGTGTTTAGGATTGCAGCTGTCAGGGATTCAACCAACAGGGTGCAATCCGTCAGGTGGTTCTCCTGCACAAGACACATGGAAAGAGGTGCTCTTGAGCAGCACCCATTAACTGTGATAATGCAAAGCACCCAACCACTTGAAAACCCACCAGTTGTATACTGACTAATGGGTACTAGGTGGCAAAACTTGTACTGGGCATAGAATGGGAAACTTGAATCTACAGCTCTGAATTAAGAATTATTTACTTATTCGTTGCATTTATATCCTACCTTTCTTCCAATGTGCTCAAGGTGATGTACATGAAATAGGTTAGGCTGAGAGACTGTGATTGGCCTTGGCCCACCCAGGGAGTGTAATGGCCAAGCAGAGACTTGAATCCTGGTCTCCCAGCACTGTAAGCACTACATGGCCTAGGACCCATGTACCTACGGGACCGCCTCTCCTGGTATGCCCCGCGGAGGACCTTAAGGTCCACAAATGACAACATTTTGGAGGTCCCAGGTCGCAAGGTGGTTAGATTGGTATCAACTAGGGCCAGGGACTTTTCAGAACTGGCCCCAACTTGGTGGAACGCTCTGTCACAAGAGACTAGGGCCCTGCGGGACTTGACATCTTTCTGCAGGGCCTGCAAGGCAGAGCTGTTCCACCTGGCCTTTGGTTTGGACTCAGTCTGACCCTTATGTTTCGCTCCCCTTATGGTCTTGATTTATAGGCTACTTTTAAAATGAGGCTGCATTTTAAATTGCATTTTAACCAGTATTTTAAATTGGTTCCCCCATTATGTTTTTAACTGTGATTTTATTGGTGTTAGCAACCCTGAGCCCTGCTTTGGCCGGGAGGGCAGGGTATAAATAAAATTTTTTATTGTTATTGTTATTATTATATTATACAACCTTGGTGGGGTGTGCCTTCCCTGAGAAGTATCTTCTTCTTCACTGATTTAGGGTGATTTTTAAGGAGGAGGATGTGAGCCATTGCAGAGATAAGAGAGTGTGGCTGGTCTTTGCCATCTGCTGCTTGCTCTCCTATCTGTTTTCTCTTCTCCCTTGCTGCAGTTCATTGAGGAGGAGGACAGTGACTTGGAGATTTCTTCCTTGGAGGAAGTCACCCCACACCTGGAGACCAACAGCAAACTGAAGCAGCCACCAGCCACAAGGAGTAGCGGGGACTCAGCTGATTCTCGGGGCACCAGCCTCTGGGGTTCTGGCAGCACAAGAGCTGGCGCCTGGTAATCTTTGCATTGAGCCGAGCTGTGTGAGACAACAGGCTCCATTTGAGATGGAACAGTTCCTGGGGCAAGTCAACGAAAAGGATGCTGAACTTTCAGAGAGAGAGAATGTGAATAAGTACCATACTCAGGATCATATCTTTGGACTCAAGTGTGAAGTTGTTTTGCTTGAATGTTTTCCTCCTTAGTAAAAAAAAAAAAGAGAGAGAGAGAGATAAAGTACTCTTTCACTGGAAGTCTCAGGTAACAGTGAAGTTCACCTTTTGATGAAGGAAGCACATCTCCACTTGAAGCTGAACCAACAAGAGGAAGCTCCCTGCTCTTTTTTTCTATGGAGGAGCATTCAGTCATATGAGCCCCCAGCTGTAGTCTCTAAAGTGCAATAACCCCAGCACAGGAACATCATTATCGCTTCAAGTATAGCTAGACTTAAGGCATTCAGGGCCACACGTCTACTAAATGCATAACAACATTTCTCCTTGCTCTTTACCCCGTGTGTTTTTGCACAAAATATATGAGTGTAAATAAGTTTTTTAAAAAATCTATATTGAATGCTTTTCACACTAAAAACGCTTTCATAATTTTAAAGACTATTTTTCTATTTGGGGTATTTTTCTATAGAAACTTGTTCCGATTAGACTAGTTGTCGGAGATAACGTGATCCAATGGAAAGACATGTCCCCCCCCCCCCTCCAACAGGAAAATAACAGTTATGGATGGCAATTTAGATTGGGATGACAGTGTTGGAGAAAGAGTAAACCCACCTCCCATCTCATTTGCCCCCCTTTCCCAATTGCTATTTTTAATATGAATTTAAAGAAATGTGAGGTACCTCATCTGGTGTGGCTCATAGTTATAACATATTTGAGTTCTAGAAACACAGTTAAATAAAAAGTTGCTGGATAGAGCTGACCACTTGATGGCACCACAACTCAAGAAACATACGTTTTTTGCTTTGTTTTTTGAGATGCTGCAAATGGCACTTGTTACCAGAATAGATTTATGATTTTTTTTATTAAAAAAAAAGAGTATTCAGGAGAACAAATGGAGTAGGTAAAAATAAGGCATGCTATGAACCTGCCCCTAAAGAAATTACACAAGAGCAAAACTGGGGGTGAGCATAAGGGGTCCATATCCCCTTCTGCCCTTTCTTTTTATATTAAAAAACCCTTTTGAATAGTTTTCAAATAAAATTTAGTAAATAATTTTGAAGCATTTGCTTTATAGAAGTCCCATTTGCTCATTCCCAGATTTCTCAGGATATATGTGACCATATGTGCTGTCTTTGCAAGTTACCACCCTGCGTGTATCTCAAGAAGGCAGATGCATAAAATATCTGGCAAAAGTTATTAAGCATCATGATGACATTTGCAAACTTGAAGATAGTATTTATTGAGATCTTCCTTTTTCCAGTAAGACAATAAGGTAAAGGTGAAGGGACCCCTGACCATTAGGTCCAGTCGTGACCGACTCTGGGGTTGCGGCGCTCATCTCGCTCTATAGGCCGAGGGAGCCGGCGTTTGTCCGCACATCTTCCGGGTCATGTGGGCAGCATGACTAAGCTGCTTCTGGCGAACCAGAGCAGCACACGGAAACGCCATTTACCTTCCCCCCGGAGCGGTACCTATTTATCTACTTGCACTTTGACGTGCTTTCGAACTGCTAGGTTGGCAGGAGCAGGGACCGGGCAACGGGAGCTCACCCCGTCGCGGGGATTCAAACCACTGACCTTCTGATCAGCAAGTCCTAGGCTCTGTGGTTTAACCCACAACGCCACCCACGTTCCTTTTAGTAAGACAATACAGCTGCATAAAAATGATCACGGTTGGCAATAATCCTCAATGTAAAGTACAAAACCTACAGAAATGGTATGTGGGATCCATCTGACCCCACGCTTTTTTAAAACGTAAAAATAATTTACCGTTAAGATAGAGGTAGCTTGCTACTTACATACCGTACATTTAACTTGTGCGCATTCAGCTTTATGCGTTTGTCAGTTTAAAAGAAAAAAGAAAGAAAGGGAGAGGGTGGAAAGGAGGTGGGTATCCGTGGAAAAATACTTTGGCAGTCCCACCTGCCATAGAACTCAAAGTGATTTGACTCTACATGTTTTGGGCTTTAGGCTCTATCCCTGGAATGAATCACCTGTATGTATAACTATAATATTTGCACAAGTATAACAGCACAATAATCATGATTTGTGAGTGACTCCTAAACAACAAATGTTTAGCTTCAAAGTACAGATATGAATGTTTATAAGTTCGGATGTTATTGCTTGGGTTTTCTAATTTTAGAAAAGGAGGGGCATCTCCAGAAATAAAAGCTTATCATGCAACATTTGTGTGTTTGTTATGTAAACTCTGGTTGCATGTTTGTGTGCTTAATATTTGAATTTGAAATAATTTTTAGTAGAGGGAAATGGCAAAGTTAAAAAAAAAATCAGAAGTCAACTGCATGTATGGTATGTTCTTATTCTGAACGCATCCTAAAGTAAGGTATGATCTCGACAGTTTTCATGGTGAAATAGTCTCTGGATGAATATATGTATTTATTTTCTTCTGTATTACAGAATGTATGTACAATCCTGTTTAAAAACCTTCCAAATTATCTTTGCAAATCCACGCAAAGAGGAAGGTCAGTCCCTGAATGAATGTGTATGTGAGTAATGAAAAGTATACCCATTCATTTCAGAATGAATGGATATTGAACTGAATGGACCCCACTCAGTTAATGTTTTCATTTCTTGTAAAACAAAGGCTCACCTCTATTTTGATTTTTTTATCAAATGGTTAAACAAAGAACTGGAAAATATGCAGAAGGTGTGGGGAAGGTGTGTGTCTCATAACTGATCACCTACAATAGAGAAACCTCTGCAAATGTACACTCCTTCTGAAGGTTTGGTTACTGCAAGAAGGTTTGCCCTCTTTAGTATGATGCTAAATCTATGGGCAGGGGAAGCATGCACATATGGTAAGTATTAAACTCTTTCTTCCTTCTGGTGTACACTGAGCACAGCCACAACTGCAGAAAGAGTACTGTGCCAAAAACACAGTTAATTATGGACGTGGCATGGAAAAGACTAAGATGAATTAAATGTGAATCTGATCAAGCCCAAGGTCATGTTTAATTACCATCCTATACGGAATCATATCTGAATATGGAGCACTATTACAAATAGTATATTAATTAATATTATCTAGAAGAAAGTGCAACTGTGAGAGATATCCAACTAAGTCATACTCAAAGTACTCCCAAAGAAATCAAAGTCTCTTCATTTTAACTGGTCTGCTCTGGAATGGAGGAAGAGTCGCCCTGTTCAGAGTCAAAAGTGGACTCGCCTGACTTGATCTAGACATCATGATCTGGATCAGATCAGTAGTCCACTTCAGACTCTGCAGTCCAGTAGATCCCTTTATGAGGCAGTCAGGATTGTGCACAGGATCATTTTTTAAAAGCTGAAAATCACATTTATGGCTGGGCATTGGAAGCTTTCTTAAAACAACAACAACCTGAGGGCCACATCCCCTTCTGTAGAACTTTACAGGGGCCACAGGTCAGAGGTGGGTGGAGCCAGATTGTGTGTGTGTATTTTTACAATCAAGCGTTCTATAAATTTTATGAAGTAAATACAAATAAAATAAATAAAAGTGAACAAATGAAACAAATGGAAAAAAAAAACCATTATACAGTAGGTTAGGTTTCGACACCCACCCCACACAGCCATTTCAATCCTCCCTCCAAGACATGGAAAAGGCATTATCACAATTCCTCAAACCTGAAGTTCCACATCCCTGATTTGTAGCATCTTTAGATCAAAACTGTGACTGTGACAAAGCTTTACAGGAATACTAAAAACCCCACCATATAGAACATTGGATCTATTTTATACCATCCATCTATGCAAACTGACTGGCTTTTATACAGTTTTATATAGTATTACACTATATGTATTTCTAAGGTGGCCACATATTATCAGGATTAAGAACAAGGCATCATTTTCAACTTTAGCCACATGGTGGTGCTTTTTAACTATTTTGATGTGCAACAGAAAATGTAATATAACATGTCCAATGTGCCCATGTGGCTGTGTAGTTTATATATGCAGGAGGAAACTGTAACAAGTATTTGACCATTTCCAATATCATTCTAGCAGAACTTTCGCACCAGGGATGTGTGTGAGCTTATAGCTATTTCAGTGAACAGAAAGACCCACAGTTAATAAGAGGAGCATGTTAATAATATACATATGGCTTGAAGAGAAGCTGTGGATGAGGCAATGGAGGAGGTGCTACACAGCAATAGAAAATAATCTGGAAGGAAGGACCACATTGTTCAGTGGTATAGTATATGCTTTCTATGAAGAAGGTCTCAGGTTCAGTCCCTGGCATCTGCTGCCCATCAGCGTGAACAACAATGAACCAGATGGACAAATGGTCTGGCAGCATCCTATGTTCCTAATGTAAAAATCTGTACCCAAATACAGCACACGGATACCTTATTTATGTGTATTGCCTCATGGGTCCATTTCCCCTTCACTATCTCCCAAACTTCCCTTTCCATATATACACACCCATTTACATTTACTTACAAACAGTGCTTTTGTAGTGGTACTCAGGGGTGCAGAATACTGTCACCTCAAATTATTATTATTACTATTGTTATTGTTATTTTGCTGTCCATGGCAGCCATTTTGTGCTGGCATCCATGGCACTTAATCAAGTATGAGTGCTGGCACCTCATTTTTTACAAAAAGGAGGGGGAGCAATACTCACAGCAACAGTACTCAAGCTGTCATACACAGTCAGAATCGGTCTAACAATGGGCTAAAAGTTAACAGTGCTGCTGATCTTTTTCCCAGCAACAGAACAGAGCCTCATCAATACCAAGGACTGGTGTGTCAGCAGGATTTTTAAACTTCCAGTTCTGAACAGGTTGAACATTCTTTAAGGGCTCATTCACACTTCTGCTTGTCCTGTGCCTAGATAACACACGTCTGAGTGGATTTCCCCTTGCCCCACACCTTTCCCAGGGAAAACCTGCTCTTTAGTGCTAAATAGGAGCAAACGAAAGAGAAAACCTGAGCTGCTATGTGCTCCGAATGAGAGCTAAAGAGTGGTTCACTCCAGGGGAAAGCAGTGTGGTACAAGAGGAAGTGTGGATAAGCCCTAATATTCCAAAACAGCTCTGTAGCTTAGCCAGTGGCTAGGAAGCATTCACATCAATCCAGAAGTGGATGTAGGAGAGCACGACCGGCCCACCTGCACTGAGCTGCCAGGGGACCACTGCAGGTGTTGCAACAATGGCAAACGACAGAAGGAGAGAAGTGGGGGGGGTGCGAGACAAATTTTGGCATCGCAAAGGGCGCCACTGAAATTTAAAAGCCCAAAGTCTGCATCCTGCCTTTACTTGAGTTACTTCATTTCTTGGATGTACAGTGGTACCTCGGGTACCAGACACTTCAGGTTACAGATGCTTCAGGTTACAGACTCCGCTAACCCAGAAATAGTACCTCGGGTTAAAAACTTTGCTTCAGGATGAGAGCAGAAATCATGCTCCGGCGGCGCAGCAGCAGCAGGAGACCCCATTAGCTAAAGTGGTGCTTCAGGTTAAGAACAGTTTCAGGTGAAGAACGGACCTCCGGAATGAATTAAGTTCTTAACCTGAGGTACCACTGTATCTGGTTTCAGAGTAAGGCTGTGTACACACCCCTGTTTGCTCTGCATTCAATGCTCTTCCACCGCTGGTTTGGAAAGCAGTGCACATACAATGTCAGGCACAAGCCATATCCCCCCTGTATCTATATTGTCATTTCTTATGGGATATTGCATTTTGATATGGTTTTTTCCTGAAATCAGCTTCAGTCAGAATTGAGAAAAAGAATGACCTAGCTGTATTTTAAACGTGCCCACAAGCTTGAATTGGCAAAGCCACTCTTTTTCTACAAATCTGTTTATGTTCTGTTCTTTGCTTCGATGCATCACTTATCTCTCTTCAGATAGGTTTAGTACCTTACGAGATTACCCCAGGCTGACCTGGGATTCACAAATAAATGTAGAGGTCATAATCATCATTGTAATGTATGCATTATCAGCTAAATATCTGGCACGTTGCCCCTTTCAGAGAAACAGCTAGCTCTTGGAGAACTGACTCAAAGATGTGGCCAGGTTGGAGGAGATAGTTTCTACTCTGTGCAGCCTCCCAGGCCTAATCAAGAATAAAGTTTAATTAGCCATTAGCTCAGCTTCTACTGTGTTCCTAGATAAACAGCAGAAGACAATAAAGTCCATATTTAAGCATAATGTGCCCATTTTCCAGGGCACGAATGGGAGAATCTGATACAACAAATAGCATGTACCTCCCAAATGTTAGTGATGCTGCCTTTACATCCAGAAGCCACTCTTTGGTGTATAGATTTCCCAAGGAATGTGGTACTGCATTAATTAAGCATCACTAAGGGTTACAATATCCATCCCTTCAGCTCAAAACAAATAAGCGTGACACCTCCGAACACTAATTTCCAAGCCAGAAAACAATACATAACAGATGTTAAAGAGATCGTGCTACACTATGGTTGATTAGAGCAAAAAGCCAGATATTATCACTGGCTATCTCTGCTGCCAGCTGATGAACAAGATATGTTTTGACTAAGAATGCAACTCAATAAGCGTCAATCTTTCTGGGTTTCATAGTTAGCTACAATACAGGCATGAATGCAAATAGTCAGACTGACACGTTTATTGAAGTGCAGCATCAAAATACGGCTGCATAATTGTATCTACTATATATATATTGGAAAGTGGTTTGTCTGGCTGCTTTTCTGTTTGTTCAGATGCCTCTTGAGATATTGTCACCAAACTAGGCACAAAGATTCCTGAGGTGGGGAAGTGGGTCTATGTTGATGTGTCAATGCCAGGCGCCATTTTTTATCAATATGGCAGACCGAAGTGTCACTTTGGCATGACTTCGCACATTTTTTGACATAGATTTGGCTTGAGAGATCATCACCAAACTCAGCATGAGGGTTCCCAAGGGAGGGAGTGGCAGTCTTCAACACCAGGCAACCTATTGAATCAAAATGATGGGCTGAAACATGACTTCACCCGATTTTGGACATAATGGGTCCAAACTCACAAATTATAGTCTCAGTATAATTAACAATCTTTATTGGTTTCTAAAAAAAAAAAATCCCAGGCAGCACCAGGCATTCCTTGCTAGGCTCCTATGCTATTTACCTGAGAAGTGCCATGTTCCTCTAAACTTTCGCTTAACTCACTTGAGTCTGTTATGTCACCCAGTCCAACTCATATAAGAACCTAAGAGGAGCCTACTGAATCA